CTTCCTCGTTCACCCTGAAAATGTATAGAGCAGCTGGCACGTTACTGTTTACAGTTAGGCTGATTGAATCAAGAGAAATTATTGGAAGATTGTGTCAAATTGTTGTGAATGTCCCGTTGATTCATGGGAAATTATTGAAAGATTGTGTCAAATTGTTGTGAATGTCTGGTTGTTTCACAAATTATTGAAAAATTGTGTCAGGTTGTCATGAATGTTAGGTTAATTCATGGAAACTACTAAAAGATTATGTAAAGTTGTAGTGAATGTCCCATTGATTCATGGAAATTAATGTTTTAAGTTGTTGTGAATGTCCGGTTGATTCATGGAAATTATTGTGTCAAGTTGTTCAAGAATGTCCAGTTGATTCCTGCAGATTATCAAAAGATTGTGTCAGTTGCTGTGAGTGTATATTTGATGATATTTTAATGTTGTTGTTGCTGCCTGCTTGGTTGGTCAATGTTGTGAAAATAACCGTGATTCTCCAGGCCTACTTGCTTCTGTGTCTTGGTATTCTGTTTGCCCACCTTCAGACTTTACTCTTAATCCAGAACCTGCCTGCCTGTTGCCCTGCTCATCCATCTCCCAGATATGGCTTATACGTATGCAGACTGTTGGTCCCTTGCCTTTTAAGCAGATGCACTCCGACTTCGAAGGATACCCCCACTTAGTCAACTCAACTCCTGTAGCACGCTTGTTGGGGAGGCGGAGGGGTCTGTTCTTGTTTCCTCCCTCACAGGGAGACCTACTTTGAAGGTTTGCACACATCTTCACTGACTTTCTTGTTTCATACTGGTCTGATGCTGCCATTGGCAGTGATTCCAAAACTGTGCGCCCCAGGGAGCCACGGCCTCTTCACAGGGGCACCACAAAATTTTCGAAGATACGCGAGTTTTGTTTGTTTTGATCTCTTACATATGAATAGTCATACTTTTAGCACCGCAAAAATTTTTTTTTTATTGAAAAAAGGCACAGTGACAAAGAAAAGTTTAGGAAACACTGGTTTAGACTATTCACCTACTCCTGTCACCTGGTGTTTAATGATGTTGATGTTTGCTTGTATTTTATCTTCCCGCTTACATTTGTCTCTGTCTACCTCTGCCTCTCTTGTCTTCCAGTATCATCATCATGAGCTGTGTTGATAAGCACAGGCTGTCCTATTTCAATATTTAACATGATCACCAGAATCGTTGATCAGGTCACTGTTTTTGTCCAGCCCCAGCCATTTTTGTGTGTGTGTCTATATTCCGTCAATCTTGATGGCTGTTACCATGTTCTTGAATCCTTCTCCTCGTGTCTGGAAAACACCCCGACTGTCTGAGGCTAATTGATAATTTATTTGTTCCGCCACTTTCTCTGGCATGATCTGTATTTTTTATTTACTGTTTTCCTCTGATTTCGCTAAGTTATTGGAGGTCAGCTGCTCCCAGTTTCTCCATTGTTTATTCCTCATGAAACAGCATGCCCAGTTTGTGTAAACAGCAGGAACCAATCATGAGTTTATTGTCTTCTGCTTCGCATTTACTAGCTGCAAACTCTGGCGGAAAGTCCTGGTTGTCCATACACTTCTGTACTTGGCCTTGTCCAGGACTTCAGTTTTGTGTGCACATTCATTTTACAGATCTGGCTTGTCAGTGTGCAGACTGTTGGTCCCTCACCCCTCAGAAAGATGCTGTCTGATTCTGTCGGAACCAATTCTAAATATGTTGGCCAGGTTTCCAGCAGCAGGGTGCCTGTCCTTCAGAAAGCCAAGGATAACCGTAGACAGGTCCTGACCCGTATGAGACCTGGTCGTGATGTGGCACCATGTGTGGTTCAGCACTTCTGAGTCCCCCCCCCCCCCCCTTCCCAGTTTATAAATTGTTGGTGTTTGAATCCTGTTTGTGGTCCTCAAACAGCATGGGCAACATTTGTAGATAGTAGAAGCCGATCGTTAGTTGTCGGTTTGTGTACTAGAAATGATTGTGGTTCTCAAACAGCATGGGCAACATTTGTAGATAGTAGAAGCCGATCGTTAGTTGACATTTTGTGTACTAGAAATGATTGTGGTTCCCAGACAGCATGGGCAACATTTGTAGATAGTAGAAGCCGATCGTTAGTTGACATTTTGTGTGCTAGAAATGATTGTGGTTCTCAAACAGCATGGGCAACATTTGTAGATAGTAGAAGCTGATTGTTAGTTGAAAGTTTGTGTACTAGAAATGATTGTGGTTCTCAAACAGCATGGGCAACATTTGTAGATAGTAGAAGCTGATCGTTAGTTGAAAGTTTGTGTACTAGAAATGATTGTGGTTCTCAAACAGCATGGGCAACATTTGTAGATAGTAGAAGCCGATCGTTAGTTGACATTTTGTGTACTAGAAATGATTGTGGTTCCCAGACAGCATGGGCAACATTTGTAGATAGCAGACACTGATCATTAGTTGAAAGTTTGTGTACTAGACATGATTGTGGTTCACAAACAGCATGGGCAACATTTGTAGATAGTAGAAGCCGATCGTTAGTTGACATTTTGTGTACTAGAAATGATTGTGGTTCTCAAACAGCATGGGCAACATTTGTAGATAGTAGAAGCTGATCGTTAGTTGACAGTTTGTGTACTAGAAATGATTGTGGTTCTCAAACAGCATGGGCAACATTTATAGATAGCAGACACTGATCATCAAGTGATAACTTACTTGGTGGTCTAAAAGACATGTTTGTGGTACATATAAAAGCATGGACATTATGTTTACAGAGTAAAGGCTGTTCCTCTATCTATACACGTTTTTTGTGTTTTCAACAGCATGGACAATATTTTGATAGTAGAAACCAATTTTTGGTAGTTTTTGTTTTTGGGTAATCTGTCAAAACTAGATGGACAGTCACTGCTTTCGTGTTTGTATGCTGGGCATGTTTTCTATTTATCGCTTGTTATACTTGGTAACATTGGATGATGTCAACAGAATCCATTCAGCTAAAGCCAAGAATCATCAGGACACGATTGTCCGCAAGAATCCACTGTTAATGCCAGCTGTTAATGGATCATTTGTTTTTGACAGGCAGTCAACTTATGGGTTGTTTATAGCTAGGAACTGATGTATGGTTTGTTTGAAGGCAGTCAACTTATGGGTTGTTTATAGCAAGGAACTGATGCATGGTTTGTTTGAAGGCAGCCAACTTATGGGTTGTTTATAGCAAGGAACTGATGTATGGTTTGTTTGAAGGCAGTCAACTTATGGGTTGTTTATAGCTAGGAACTGATGTATGGTTTGTTTGAAGGCAGTCAACTTATTGGTTGTTTATAGCAAGGAACTGATGTATGGTTTGTTTGAAGGCAGTCAACTTATGGGTTGTTTATAGCAAGGAACTGATGTATGGTTTGTTTGAAGGCAGTCAACTTATGGGTTGTTTATAGCAAGGAACTGATGTATGGTTTGTTTGAAGGCAGTCAACTTATGGGTTGTTTATAGCAAGGAACTGATGCATGGTTTTGTTTGAAGGCAGCCAACTTATGGGTTGTTTATAGCAAGGAACTGATGTATGGTTTGTTTGAAGGCAGTCAACTTATGGGTTGTTTATAGCAAGGAACTGATGTATGGTTTGTTTGAAGGCAGTCAACTTATGGGTTGTTTATAGCAAGGAACTGATGTATGGTTTGTTTGAAGGCAGTCAACTTATGGGTTGTTTATAGCAAGGAACTGATGTATGGTTTGTTTGAAGGCAGCCAACTTACGGGTTTTTTATGACAAGGAATGACGTTTGATTTGTTTTCAGGCATTCAGTGTACGGGTCATTTATTGCACAGGATCAATGAATGGGTTATTTATCACAAAGAACCTATTTATTTGGTTATTTATCGCTAGAGACCAACATATGTGTACTTTGTGATAATTAACTGACAACAAACAACCAAACTGCCCGTATTGTTGCAGTCTGGTGATGCTGCCACATTTGATCTCCGTAGCTGTATCGCACCCAGTTTTTTACACTCTCCGATTGCTGTTTGTTCATCTCTTGTTGTTATCCTCCCACTTGTATCACTATCTGTCCTTTATACACCTGTTTTCAGCTTTCTAGTTTGATTTTTTGTGTGTGGCATAAATTGTGGCATGTGAGTTGAGTTTTCAAGCTTGAAAAACATCTTTCCAGAACTAGGGGTCGACTCATGTGTTGGGTATCAAACACACACCTTGACCGCATCATTGTGAACAAGGGGGTCAGTACTCCTGACAGTCACTGTACCCCACCTACCTCACCTCCAGCAGCTGGCCATAGATATGTATCCCACTGAAACCTGTGTTTTAGGAAAAATATAAAGGTTAAAAGTAAGAGGACTGACTTCATTGCACTGGGTTTAATTTACCCTGAAAGACCTTGTCTTGGTCTATAGAACGCCTGGCCACCTGCCGAGGACGCACAAAAAGCCAGGACCCACAGCTTCAGCAGTGGTCACCTTTCGTAAGCCTAAAGACGCAGCTGTGAAATGAACAGCCCACGGCCTTCGAAGCACAAAGCAAAAGGCTTGACTGCCTTACCCTGGAGACTGACTCCCCTACGCTTGTTGAACATATTTGACATGTTAACACACTGATATCAAAAACATATGTTTTTAAGGGGTTCACATTTACCTTAGTTATAGGTGTAACTCATAATTTGTAGGTCAACTTGTGCGGCACAATTTACAACAAGCATTGCCTTTGAATGTGGCCAAGTTATTGATTCTAGATAAATAGTTGGTTATTTAATAGACCGATCATTCCTCATCACACATCATTTCAAGCCCAATCTGCAGTGTCTCCCTCAGTGTGGGGCAACTGATATCTACTAAATCACTAGTCAAGCACTAAGAAGTGATTTAACGCAGCACAAACTATATTTAGAAAGTGTAACAGAAGGAAAGGAAAAGACATACAAATAACAGCTAAAGGTTTTGGCTAGAGCCTTTATCACTGAACAAAACTCTGTTAATAATAATCCAACTGTTAGTTAATGAGCCTTGATTTTTCTCTCATTCCTTGCAGGCCTCTGGGGGCAGCTCGAGAGGATTTGACCCCAACCTTGCCAACAACTTTGCTACAATCAGAACTACCTCCATTGTTCAGAAGCAGATCAAAGAACACGAACGCAGCAATGACTACAGGAACTTCACTGTTTACAAACGGCTGCGTAAGGCTCACCAAAAGGAGTTGCAGACAGTAAGTCAGCCATTGTATTTTTCTAAAGCTGTCTTTATCTTCTCCTCCTCCTCTGCCTGTGTTTTCTTATCCTCCTCCTCCTTCTTCTTTCATCTTCTTCATTTTCTCATTCTTTTACTTCTGATCCTGTTTCGTCCTCTTCTTGTTCTCTTCCTCTTCCTGCTTCTCCTAGTTCAACTTCTCATTATGTAGACAAGATAGCTTTGGTGTATCATACTGGTTGTCTTTGATCTGTCCCTGGTTGTCTCTGCCCTGTCACTGGTTGACATTGTCTCTGGTTGTCTTTGACCTGTCTCTGGTTGTCTTTGCCCTGTCTCTGGTTGTCTTTGACCTGTCTCTGGTTGTCTTTGCCCTGTCTCTGGTTGTCTTTGCCCTGTCTCTGGTTGTCTTTGCCCTGTCTCTGGTTGTCTTTGACCTGTCTCTGGTTGTCTTTGACCTGTCTCTGGTTGTCTTTGCCCTGTCTCTGGTTGTCTTTGCCCTGTCTCTGGTTGTCTTTGACCTGTCTCTGGTTGGTCTGACCAGTCTTGTTGACTTTGACCTGTCTCTGGTTGTCTTTGCCCTGTCTCTGGTTGTTTTTGACCTGTCTCTGGTTGTCTTTGACCTGTCTCTGGTTGGTCTGACCAGTCTTGTTGACTTTGACCTGTCTCTGGTTGTCTTTGCCCTGTCTCTGGTTGTCTTTGACCTGTCTCTCAGGGTTCGTAGTGGACCGGGAAATCGGGATACCGGGATTTTTTTCGTTGACCTTGAACTGTAATTTTTAGCTTATAAAAGACATTCCGACCTTGAAAAGCCGTGAATTTTGACCGCGGCACATCAAAAATCCTGTGTTTTTCAGCACAGGCAATTTTGGGGGAGCCATTTGGCTTTTTTGGTCATTTGGCTAGTTTTTGGCTACTTTCGTTGTATGGTCGTTTCAGGTGTGAGGGCAGCTGATTATTGGCTATTTTCAGCCGAAATGGCTTGTTAAAGGCCAGGGGAGGGCGGGCTTTGTTGCAGATCATGAATACATGCAGACAGCAGCGGTGTGGCATGGGGCGGAAAGGAGCAGCCTCAGTCTCGCGCGCGCGTGTGTGTGTGTGTGTGTGTGTGTGCCTTTGTTTCTAGCAAGTCCAGAATGAACAGTAGAACAGTATAAATGGTTTATGGCCGTGGTTTCTAGAAAGGATTACATTGGGAGATGGTGGGGCTCGGTTCAGTTGTATTTATAAATAGAGTCGCCGTGGTGGGGGCTAAGCACGGCCTTCTCTATTAATTAGAGATGGCATTGGGGTTAAGCAAAGTGACTGCAGCTGGATTTCCCAGTTCTATTTTTGGCATGGATTTATCTTTACAGTGTGTTTGGCGATCAGTATTGTAATTCCCCGAGATTCCCTCTTCTGTTGTCTCACCCCTCTCTCTCTCTCTTCCCTCCCTCTCTCTCTCTCTTCCCTCCCTCTTTCACTCTTCTACCTATTGCTCCTTCCCTCCCGTCTCCTGCATTGTCTCTAACCCTCCCTTCTGATCTTCATCTTCTTCTCTTTCTCTTTATCTTTCCTTTTACTCTCTCATTTCCTGTCCCCCTCCCCCTTTTTTTATTTCTTGTTTAATTGTTGAGTAAATGTGCGGCCCCATAACTCTTCCTAGCAACTCAAGTACACAGGAAGTTGTATTGGGGGGGGTGGGGGGCATTCTGTGTGAACATGGTGGATATTTTCTTTTGATGTGTTTGTTTTCCTAGCGGCCTTAATCTCTGTCCATCTCCCTTCCCGCCCCCTCACATTTTGTCCTACCTGTTCCTCACTCTCTGCCTGTCTGTGTCACTGCTTTCCTCTTTCTCTTTGTATTTGCCACTCTCCCTCACTCCCTCCCCCCCCCCCCTCTCTCTCTTTCTTTTTCCATACCTTCAGTTGGTGTAGAAGGTTATGTGTTGCCTAGTACAGAACATTGTATGTCCACCACTCCCCCCTCCCACACATTAAATATATGTGTACTTTTAAAAACACATTTGCCGCCCCCCCCCCCCTTTTCTCCTCCCACATTGATGACACCTAGGGGAGGGAGTGCACCCCTTCCTGCTACCTTCTTCCCTCTATATCTCATCTTATTTCTTACTCCCTTCTTTCTCTCCCTGTCTCATTCCCACTTTATTTTCTTAAACTTTATTCTCTCACCTCCTCTGTCTCACCCTTACCACCTCAGCCTTCTACATCACTTTCCACCACCTCCTCTCTCCCCTCCTTTCTGTAATCGGAAAACCAGAAATAAAACGAAGTCCACTGCTGCCCTGACCTATTTATGTGTCTGACCTATTTATGTGTGTGAGTAAACTTCTCTCCACCAGTGGTGGGTTGGGATCCCCTGGACTTTTTTTTTCCTTCATAAAATGACCTTGGCTCTCAGGTCACCAGCCTTAAGTGTAAGAAATTGAATTATTGTTGTCACACACAGATAGGACAAGCAAGGGGCAGTAGGGGTTAGCACTGTTGTTTTTGGACCACTGCCAGAACCGGAAAAGTGGCCTCACTTAGAGATTTCCTAATTCTATTTTTGGCACTCATTGTTCTTACACCCCCCCCCCCCCCCAACCGTGTCTTACCTTTCTTCTCTCACCTCTTCTCTTTCCTTTGATCTTCTACTATTCTCCTTTCTCTCTCCATTCTTCCTCTCTTCCTTTCCTTGCCCTTTCTCCTGTCCCATCTCTTCTTTGTCTCCTCTCCATCCTGTCTTTTCATTTTCTCTAGATTTCCTTACCCGCTCCCCTCTCTTATTCTCTCCCCCCCCCCCCCCCCCATTTTTTTTACTGGTTCATCTACGTATTTTTTGCCCCATAATTATCTTTTCCTAGTGGTTGTGTCCACTACACTTGAAATTGTGGGGAGGGGGGGGGGGGGAGTAGGTGGCTGTTTTTTTTCTTTGAGGTATCTTGTCTCCCTTCCTGCCCCCCTCTCTTAATCTGTGTTTGTCACTGCCTTCCTTACCCACCTCTCTCTCTCTCTTTCTCTCTCTCTTTCTCTCTCTCTCTCTTGCTTTATGTCTGTTTGCCTCCCTTCATCACTTCCTCTTTGTATACCTCCCTCCCATTCTCCTGCTCTGCCTTTTTTCTCTTTCTTTGGTTCTCTCCCTCTGTCTGCTTGCCTCTCTGTGCTGTCCCTTTGTCTCTCTCTCCTTTATGTCTACATCTCTCTCTGCTTGCATCTGCTTCTCACCCTGTCCGTTCTCTCTCCCTCTGTCTCCCTTCTTTCAACTCTTTGTCATATTTTCCTCCTTCCATATCTCTGTTTCGTTCCCTTTTTCCTTCTCTTTTCATCTGCCCATCTCTGTATCTGCATTCCCTCTTTCTGTATTTGTCTCCCTCTCTGTCTTTCGCTGTCCCTTCCCCACTTTTCCTCATCATGTCTCCATCCCTCCCTCTCATTTTTTCCTCCTTCCCCAGACTTCTTTTCCTTCTTTTCTCTACCTTCATCTGTCTATCTTTACACTGTCTCTCCCAGCCTACCTCAGCATGTGTCTTCCTCTCTCTTCATGACTCTCTCTCTCTCCCCTAACCCTCTCAGGTACCAGGTCCAGAACAGACAGGACTTCAGTTTGCTGCCCTCTACCACCAAGCCCTAAAAAAAATTTCAAACACTTTATCAAGCTCAGGGGCCGACCAACACGAAGATGGGCACAGGATATAAGTATAAAAAAGTACATGAGGCGGGAGAGCTGGTGAGAGACCGAGGTTTTTTTGTCAGGACAAAGGAAATGCTACATGATGATGATATCTGTGCTGGTATACCAACACATGTGGCACAAATGAAGTACCTTGTGTGCTCAGTACACCCTTGAACAAGGCAAAAATCTTGTTTCAGTATTACACCGAGACAACCTTGAAAAAAACTAAGGAGACCTTGAAAAAGACCTTGAAAAGCCTTGAAATTGATTGGTAAATTTGGCTATGAACCCTGGTCTCTGGTTGTCTTTGCCCTGTCTCTGGTTGGTCTGACCAGTCTTGTTGTCATGTTCCAGATAGAAACACGCTTCAAGGCAGAGATGGAGGAACATAAGCAGAAGCTGGACAGAGAGTACGAGAACCTGCGCCAGCGTTTCTCCCGGGAGCTGGAGAAGTTGAAGGTGCAGCACACTGGAGAGTTGGACAGACAGGTAATAGATGTGTGGTGTGGGGTTGAAAGACAAGTACCAGACTTCTTGTTCTTCTGTGGTTAGTGATATTGTGGTTTACAGCTAGCCTGCGGTATATGCACCTTGCTGCTCAACACGTCCTGTTTCAGCAAACTCAATATGTTTTTACAGCATGCTGCAGCTGCTACCCCCTGGGAGTGTATTTGACAGGTACCAGCTGTGTACCTAGTGTGATCTGGATAGACAGGTAGTAGTGTGTACATGGTGTAGACAGGTAGTAGTGTGTACATGGTGTGTTTGATAGACAGGTAGAAGTGGATACATGGTGTGTTTGATAGACAGGTAGAAGTGTGTACATGGTGTGTTTGATAGACAGGTAGAAGTGGATACATGGTGTGTTTGATAGACAGGTAGAAGTGGATACATGGTGTGTTTGATAGACAGGTAGAAGTGGATACATGGTGTGTTTGATAGACAGGTAGCAGTAGATACATGGTGTGTTTGATAGACAGGTAGCAGTGGATACATTGTGTGTTTGATAGACAGGTAGCAGTAGATACATGGTGTGTTTGATAGACAGGTAGTAGTGTGTACATGGTGTGTTTGATAGACAGGTAGCAGTAGATACATGGTGTGTTTGATAGACAGGTAGAAGTGGATACATGGTGTGTTTGATAGACAGGAAGAAGTGGATACATGGTGTGTTTGATAGACAGGTAGCAGTGGATACATGGTGTGTTTGATAGACAGGTAGCAGTAGATACATGGTGTGTTTGATAGACAGGTAGAAGTGGATACATGGTGTGTTTGATAGACAGGTAACAGTGGATATATGGTGTGTTTGATAGACAGGTAGAAGTGGATACATGGTGTGTTCAGGTAGCAGTGTGTTTGATAGACAGGTAGCAGTAGATACATGGTGTGTTTGATAGACAGGTAGTAGTGTGTACATGGTGTGTTTGATAGACAGGTAGCAGTAGATACATGGTGTGTTTGATAGACAGGTAGCAGTAGATACAGGGTGTGTTTGATAGACAGGTAGCAGTAGATACATGGTGTGTTTGATAGACAGGTAGAAGTGGATACATGGTGTGTTTGATAGACAGGTAGAAGTGGATACATAGTGTGTTTGATAGACAGGTAGAAGTGGATACATGGTGTGTTTGATAGACAGGTAGCAGTGGATACATGGTGTGTTTGATAGACAGGTAGCAGTGGATACATGGTGTGTTTGATAGACAGGTAGCAGTGGATACATGGTGTGTTTGATAGACAGGTAGCAGTGGATACATGGTGTGTTTGATAGACAGGTAGCAGTGGATACATGGTGTGTTTGATAGACAGGTAGAAGTGGATGCATGGTGTGTTCAGGTAGCAGTGTGTTTGATAGACAGGTAGCAGTAGATACAGGGTGTGTTTGATAGACAGGTAGCAGTAGATACATGGTGTGTTTGATAGACAGGTAGCAGTAGATACATGGTGTGTTTGATAGACAGGTAGTAGTGGATACATGGTGTGTTTGATAGACAGGTAGCAGTAGATACAGGGTGTGTTTGATAGACAGGTAGCAGTAGATACAGGGTGTGTTTGATAGATAGGTAGCAGTGGATACATGGTGTGTTTGATAGACAGGTAGCAGTAGATACAGGGTGTGTTTGATAGACAGGTAGCAGTAGATACAGGGTGTGTTTGATAGACAGGTAGCAGTAGATACATGGTGTGTTTGATAGACACTTAAAAGTGGATACATGGTGTGTTTGATAGACAGGTAGCAGTAGATACAGGGTGTGTTTGATAAGACAGGTAGCAGTAGATACAGGGTGTGTTTGATAGACAGGTAGCAGTAGATACATGGTGTGTTTGATAGACAGGTAGAAGTGGATACATGGTGTGTTTGATAGACAGGTAGCAGTGGATACATGGTGTGTTTGATAGACAGGTAGAAGTGGATGCATGGTGTGTTCAGGTAGCAGTGTGTTTGATAGACAGGTAGCAGTAGATACAGGGTGTGTTTGATAGACAGGTAGCAGTAGATACATGGTGTGTTTGATAGACAGGTAGCAGTAGATACATGGTGTGTTTGATAGACAGGTAGTAGTGTGTACATGGTGTGTTTGATAGATAGGTAGCAGTGGATACATGGTGTGTTTGATAGACAGGTAGCAGTAGATACAGGGTGTGTTTGATAGACAGGTAGCAGTAGATACAGGGTGTGTTTGATAGACAGGTAGCAGTAGATACATGGTGTGTTTGATAGACACTTAAAAGTGGATACATGGTGTGTTTGATAGACAGGTAGCAGTAGATACAGGGTGTGTTTGATAAGACAGGTAGCAGTAGATACAGGGTGTGTTTGATAGACAGGTAGCAGTAGATACATGGTGTGTTTGATAGACAGGTAGAAGTGGATACATGGTGTGTTTGATAGACAGGTAGAAGTGGATACATGGTGTGTTTGATAGACAGGTAGAAGTGGATTCATGGTGTGTTTGATAGACAGGTAGAAGTGGATACATGGTGTGTTTAATAGACAGGTAGCAGTGGATACATGGTGTGTTTGATAGACAGGTAGCCATAGGTAGATTGTGTGCTAAGATGAATTTGTGGTAGATTGTGTGCTAAGATGAATCTGTGGTAGATAGTGTGCTAAGATGAATCTGTGGTAGATAGTGTGCTAAGATGAATCTGTGGTAGATTGTGTGCTAAGATGAATCTGTGGTAGATTGTGTGCTAAGATGAATCTGTGGTAGATTGTGTGCTAAGATGAATCTGTGGTAGATTGTGTGCTAAGATGAATCTGTGGTTCCCCCAGAACAAGAGCAGCCAGGCTATGGAGCGCAAGTTCCTCCGAGACACTCAGCAGAATCATGACACGGAGAAAAGAAGCCTCACAGAACAGATGAAGAAGAACTACAAGGTGGACAAGGAGAAGATGAAGAGGGTGAGCAATTCTGATGTTTTGGTCCTGTGTGGTTATCTTTTCATCCGAGCTGTGTGGTTGTCTTTTCATCCTCATTGTATGTTATGTGGTTGTTTTATCATCCTCGTTTGCTGTGTGGTTGTCTTATCATCCTCGTTGTGTGCTGTGTAGTTGTCTTGCCATCCTCATTGTCTGCTGTGTGGTTGTCTTGTTGTCTGCTGTGTGGTTGTCTTGTCATCCTCATTGTCTGCTGTGTAGTTGTCTTATCATCCTCGTTGTCTGCTGTGTGGTTGTCTTGTCATCCTTGTTGTCTGCTGTGTAGTTGTCTTGTCATCCTCATTGTCTGCTGTGTAGTTGTCTTATCATCATCCTCTGCTGTGTGGTTGTCTTGTCATCCTTGTTGTCTGCTGTGTAGTTGTCTTATCATCCTCGTTGTCTGCGGTGTGGTTGTCTTGTCATCCTTGTTGTCTGCTGTGTGGTTGTCTTGTCATCCTTGTTGTCTGCTGTGTAGTTGTCTTATCATCCTTTTTTTCTGCTGTGTAGTTGTTTTGTCATTTTTATTGTGTGCTGTGTGGTTGACTTATCATCCTCGATAAAAAATTGGGCTCAGAAGAAATTATTTCAATTTTTAATCCTAGATGTGTTTTATTAACTCTTTCGGTATCAAGCAGCGGCTGAGGTGTTAATGAATCTACCCCTTGATTTCCTTCAATATTATGATGTGCCCAATTAAATTGTTTGTTTGTTTTTGTTTTGTTGTTGTTGTCGACATCAGAACACACTTTAAAACAAATTGTAGCTTTCTCCAGATGATCACTATCACAATGTATATTGCCACTTTCCAAACAAAGCATTCACGATTTTTCATCCTGGCTAGGTTGTTGTGGTTTTTCTAGGCAAATTTATGTTAAGTTTCTGCACATTGGGCCCTTAATACCCCAGTCAAAACCTACCAAAGGTGATCTGCTGCACCAGGAATCGAAGCTTTAACTAAAGTGACAACAAAAATGACACAATTCATGCAGGAATATGTTGCACTTCGACTCCTGGCCAACTCGACTAGACAACATAACAATTGAAGGCTATAGTAACCATGCCATCAAAGGAACCTGTCACCTGCAAATGGTGACGATCTTGCAGCAGACCAAGTGTACAAAGACACATGACCAACTAGACACCCCATAAAGGTGTCGTGGTGAGCCTTGTGTGTGTCTCCCATGTTGATGACTTGGTCATGCATGTAAAGGTATCTACAGGGCCATGTTACTTACCAGGTGTACAAAAACACATGACCAACTAGACACCCATAAAGATGTCATGGTGAGCCATGTCTGTGTCTCCCTTGTTGATGACTTGGTCATGCATGTAAACGTATCTACAGGGCTTTGTTACTTACCAAGTGTACAAAAACACATGACCAACTAGACACCCATAAAGATGTCATGGTGAGCCATGTCTGTGTCTCCCTTGTTGATGACTTGGTCATGCATGTAAACATATCTACAGGGCCTAGAAGGCAGCACTCCAAGGCGAGAGAGGGACGATGCCATGAAGACATTCAAGGAGAGTTTGACCAGAAAGAAGAGGGATGCAGAGTTCCGCTTGGAGAAGCACCACAAAGATACTTTAGAGTTCAACCTTCGGGCTTTCAGACGTAGAAAACTGCTGCAGTACCACATGCTGGAGCAGAAGTTGATGCAAGAGGTTTGTTGGGGGGCTTTCACGTTAACATTACTTTAAGGTGGTCTTTCTTGTTGGGAGCTTTCGAGTTCACATTGGGGGGGGGGGGGGATGTCCCTTTCAAGTTAACAATACCTAAGCAGTCTGTCTGTCTCTTTCTAGTTGGGTGCTTTTACGTTAACATTACTTTGAGGGAGCTTCCTGTCTTTCTAGTTAGGAGCTTTTAAGTTAACTTCACCTGGGGAGGGGGGGGGGGGGGTCTGTCTTAAAATTTGGGAGCTTTCAAGTTAACATTATCTAAGAAGTCTGTCTGTCCTTCTAGTTGGGGAATTTCATGTTAAAATTACCTTAGGGATGTTTCTTCTTTTTAATTAGGGCTTTTATGTTAACATTACCTTAGGGGGTCTTGCTGTCTTTCTAGTTAGTGCTTTCATGGTTACATTAACTTGAGGGTCTTTCTGTCTATCTAGTTAGGGCTTTCATGTTAACATTACCTTAGGGGGTCTTGCTGTCTTTCTAGTTAGTGCTTTCATGGTTACATTAACTTGAGGGTCTTTCTGTCTATCTAGTTAGGGCTTTCATGTTAACATTACCTTAGGGGGTCTTGCTGTCTTTCTAGTTAGTGCTTTCATGGTTACATTAACTTGAGGGTCTTTCTGTCTATCTAGTTAGGGCTTTTATGTTAACATTACCTTAGGGGGTCTTGCTGTCTTTCTAGTTAGTGCTTTCATGGTTACATTAACTTGAGGGTCTTTCTGTCTATCTAGTTAGGGCTTTCATGGTTACATTAACTTGAGGGTCTTTCTGTCTATCTAGTTAGGGCTTTCATGGTTACATTAACTTGAGGGTCTTTCTGTCTTTCTAGTTAGTGCTTTCATGGTTACATTAACTTGAGGGTCTTTCTGTCTATCTAGTTAGTGCTTTCATGGTTACATTAACTTGAGGGTCTTTCTGTCTATCTAGTTAGTGCTTTCATGGTTACATTAACTTGAGGGTCTTTCTGTCTATCTAGTTAGTGCTTTCATGGTTACATTAACTTGAGGGTCTTTCTGTCTATCTAGTTAGGGATTTCATGGTTACATTAACTTGAGGGTCTTTCTGTCTATCTAGTTAGTGCTTTCATGGTTACATTAACTTGAGGGTCTTTCTGTCTATCTAGTTAGTGCTTTCATGGTTACATTAACTTGAGGGTCTTTCTGTCTATCTAGTTAGTGCTTTCATGGTTACATTAACTTGAGGGTCTTTCTGTCTATCTAGTTAGGGCTTTCATGGTTACATTAACTTGAGGGTCTTTCTGTCTATCTAGTTAGGGCTTTCATGGTTACATTAACTTGAGGGTCTTTCTGTCTATCTAGTTAGTGCTTTCATGGTTACATTAACTTGAGGGTCTTTCTGTCTATCTAGTTAGTGCTTTCATGGTTACATTAACTTGAGGGTCTTTCTGTCTATCTAGTTAGGGCTTTCATGGTTACATTAACTTGAGGGTCTTTCTGTCTATCTAGTTAGGGCTTTCATGGTTACATTAACTTGAGGGTCTTTCTGTCTATCTAGTTAGTGCTTTCATGGTTACATTAACTTGAGGGTCTTTCTGTCTATCTAGTTAGGGCTTTCATGGTTACATTAACTTGAGGGTCTTTCTGTCTATTTAGTTAGGGCTTTCATGGTTACATTAACTTGAGGGTCTTTCTGTCTATCTAGTTAGTGCTTTCATGGTTACATTAACTTGAGGGTCTTTCTGTCTATCTAGTTAGTGCTTTCATGGTTACAATAACTTGAGGGTCTTTCTGTCTATCTAGTTAGTGCTTTCATGGTTACAATAACTTGAGGGTCTTTCTGTCTATCTAGTTAGGGCTTTCATGGTTACATTAACTTGAGGGTCTTTCTGTCTATCTAGTTAGGGCTTTCATGGTTACATTAACTTGAGGGTCTTGCTGTCTTTCTAGTTAGGGCTTTCATGGTTACATTAACTTGAGGGTCTTTCTGTCTATCTAGTTAGGGCTTTCATGGTTACATTAACTTGAGGGTCTTTCTGTCTATCTAGTTAGGGCTTTCATGGTTACATTAACTTGAGGGTCTTTCTGTCTATCTAGTTAGGGCTTTCATGTTAACATTAACTTAAGGGTCTTTCTAGTTAGTGCTTTCATGGTTACATTAACTTGAGGGTCTTTCTGTCTATCTAGTTAGGGCTTTCATGTTAACATTAACTTAAGGGTCTTTCTAGTTAGTGCTTTCATGGTTACATTAACTTGAGGGTCTTTCTGTCTATCTAGTTAGGGCTTTCATGTTAACATTAACTTAAGGGTCTTTCTAGTTAGTGCTTTCATGGTTACATTAACTTGAGGGTCTTTCTGTCTATCTAGTTAGGGCTTTCATGTTAACATTAACTTAAGGGTCTTTCTAGTTAGGGCTTTCATGTTAACATTAACTTGACGGTCTTTCTTGTTAGGGGCTTTCACGTTAACATTACCTTGAGGGTCCTTCTGGTGGGGACTTTCATGTTAACATTACCTTAGGGCTCTTTCTATCTTTATAGACACTAAGGGGTCATGAGATCACAGACCATGGTGAGTGGTTGAATGATTCTTGAGACTAGTGATTGAGCGAGTGTTGAGAACAGTGATTGAATGAGTGTTGAGAACAGTGATTGAATGAGTGTTGAGAATAGCAGTTGAATGAGTGTTGAGAACAGTGATTGAATGAGTGTTGAGAATAGGAATTGAATGAGTGTTGAGAACAGTGATTGAATGAGTGTTGAGAACAGTGATTGAATGAGTGTTGAGAATAGCAGTTGAATGAGTGTTGAGAACAGTGATTGAATGAGTGTTGAGAACAGTGATTGAATGAGTGTTGAGAACAGTGATTGAATGAGTGTTGAGAACAGTGATTGAATGAGTGTTGAGAACAGTGATTGAATGAGTGTTGAGAACAGTGATTGAATGAGTGTTGAGAATAGTGATTGAATGAGTGTTGAGAACAGTGATTGAACAAGTGTTGAGAATAGTGATTGAACAAGTGTTGAGAGTAGTGATTGAACGAGTGTTGAGAGTAGTGATTGAACAAGTGTTGAAAATAGTGATTGAACAAGTGTTGAGAACAATGATTATACCAGTGTTGAGAGTAGTGATTGAACAAGTGTTGAGAGTAGTGATTGAACGAGTGTTAAGAACAGTGATTGAATGAGTGTTGAGAATAGTGATTGAACGAGTGTTGAATATAGTGATTGAATTAGTGTTGAGAACAGTGATTGAATGAGTGTTGAGAACAATGATTGAACGAGTGTTGAGAACAGTGATTGAACGAGTGTTGAGAACAGTGAATGAACGAGTGCTGAGAACAGTGATTGAACGAGTGTTGAGAGTAATGATTGAATGAGTGTTGAGAGTAGTGATTGAACGAGTGTTGAGAACAGTGATTGAATGAGTGTTGAGAGTAATGATTGAATAAGTGTTGAGAGTAGTGATTGAACGAGGGTTGAGGACAGTGATTGAACAAGTGTTGAGAATAGTGATTGAACAAGTGTTGAGAATAGGAATTGAATGAGTGTTTAGAATAGTGATTGAACAAGTGTTGAGAATAGGAATTGAATGAGGGTTGAGAACAGTGATTGAACGAGTGTTGAGAACAGTGATTGAATGAGTGTTGAGAACAGTGATTGAACGAGTGTTGAGAACAGTGATTGAACGAGTGTTGAGAACAGTGATTGAACAAGTGTTGAGAATAGTGATTGAACGAGTGTTGAGAATAGGAATTGAATGAGTGTTGAGAACAGTGATTGAACAAGTGTTGAGAATAGCGATTGAACAAATGCTATAAATAATTGTGCGGCTGCTAGTAATGACCAAATGTGATGTGGATACTTGCAGGAGATCGCTCAGCGGCGAGCGCAGCTGGAGTACGAGCACACCATGCTGGTGCGCCACCATGAGTCCACCCAGGACCTGGAGTACAAGCACCTGGCCGCCTTGCAGAAGATGAAGGACGAGCAGCTGAAGAAGCAGCATGAGACAGAGAGAGACAACCAGACCGACTACAACCTGTGCGCTGAAGCCGAACTCCGAAAGAAACATGCCCTGGAGGTTAAACAGCAGCCCCGGAGTTTAAAGGTCAGTGCTCCACTACAAGCTCTTTGCCGACTGGCATGGGCGATCATACCTGTCCACAACCTGTGATCTCTAGAGCATTATGTATCAGTTAAGATGCTAACACCCCTCCATGGCCATGACAAAGAGCTGCTATGAATCTTCTCACGCTGTCTTCTGCTGTCTCTCTTTCTAGTTATCACATGTTCCAGTTTATCCCCTCTCATAGTATGACAGAAATGATGACCGTCTCTTTCTAATGTTTGTGATTTATTGTCTTCAGGCCTCTTTTACCGTTGGGTTACTCATTCTGGCTGTTCGAGGAACTTCAATCATTTTTCTGTATAACATCTCTGAGGCATCAAAAAATTGCTTGGCTTTATTAATTGCCCACAATTTAGTCATATATTAAAATGCTAAAAGGCATGCAAGGATATTGCTGTGTGCTAAATGAGTTAACCTTAGTCAGCACACTACCAAGTGTCTAGCAGGTACTCTTCCGCTTCCTCTCTTAGAAATAGGACTCGACGCCGATGACACCGTCATACATTTTTATTTCACAGGATACAAGACACAAATGCAGAGACGTATTTATTGATCACAGTTGACATTCGCACATCGTCCATTTGTAGTCACTTGCTCTCTATCTCTCAGTCTGTAGCGGTCTCTCCTTGACTACTACAGCTCCAAGGACTACGGCGTCCCACACTCTGGACGCATCATACAGCTGAACAGGATGACTTCTCCCATTCACTGGACCTTGATATTTCAGCATACAACACGGCTAACTGGAAACGGACTCCCCTTGGCGTACTCCATAACCAGGTGCTACTGGCCTTCCGTCCCCTGGACTAACTTTGCCAGCGGGACAATATCTTCTTAGTACCGCAACCTCGACACTCACTCAGACCTAAATGCCTGATACTCGTACGGTATTCTAGTCTGTTAGACTGGCAAGAGATATCACGGACCCTGACTTGGTCTCTGACTCTCGATTCCTCTCTCTCTTCTCGATTCCTCTCTATCTTCTTCAGTACCGCAACCTCGACACTCACTCAGACCTAAATGCCTGATAGTCGTACGGTATTCTTGTCTGTTAGACTCGCGAGAGATATCACGGACCCTGACTTGGTCTCTGACTCTCGCTTTCTCTCTCGACTGCTTCTCGACTGCCCCCGAGGGGCTTTAGCCCTCAGGCTACAGCTCACTCCCCCGGACCGTCTACGCAGTCCAATTTATCCCTGTCAAATCCGTGTAGGTGGATGATGTCTACACGAGAGGCATGCTCGTATGGGCGTTCTCGTGAACCATGATACTGTGGGTGTTCTCGGGACTCACGCTCATGTGAGCGTTCTCGAGGATCACACTTATGTGGGTGGCTGATGTTACCAGAAAATCATGCTGTCACTTAGTTCACACTCTCTGTTTATCTCGTTATCAATGCTTTCAGCCCCCCACACAGAAACCCACGCGTCCACTTTCTCTCGTGCATGCACACCTTGTTCATGAATAGACATTTTCACTGGTCTCCTCTTAATACTCGGACCATGTTGACACTCTTCCCCCGTGAACTTACAGACAGTACTGACATACCACTGTCCCTTCACACAGTATCACACTTTACCCAAATCAGCGCGCAACAGATATACACACACACTCTCTCTCTCCTCCCCCTCTCTCTCTCACACACAAACAGATATATATATATATATATATATATATATATATATATATATATATAGATGCACCCTTTTACCTTCTGCCCTGCCCAAACTCAGTGACATGAATTTATTGCATAAGATGTTCTTCATTTTGTCAAATGCTGTCTTGGCCTGTCCTATTCTGTTATTTATCTTTGTGATACATCACCCGTCAGATGTTATCCGTATGCCCAGATATTTAAACTTCTGTACTTGTCCCAAAATAATGCCATTGATTTTTATTACACATTAAGCCAAAAGAATTTTCTTTGATATTACCAGTACTTCTGTCTTCCCATTATTGAAGCTGAACGCCATTCTTTAACTCTCTGTGTCATTTAATACATATAATGAAGCACAAACATTGAACATTTATAATTAACCAAACCGTGCTGTCACTTTTACGCTGGAGTTCTTAGATTAACCACATGATCCTCTTGTTTACACATGACTGGATTGCACATGTTGTATATTTGCCAGGCCAAGGAGATCCAGATTAGGAAACAGTTCAACGAAGCAGTCAAGACTCAGCAGAGGCAGTACAAGGCCCTGAAGGATCACATCTTACAGAACACGCCCAAGAACGAGCAGAAGGCGGTGGTGAAAAAGCTTAAGGAGGAGCAGATGAGGAAGCTGGCGGCTCTCGGAGATCAATACGAAGCCAGCATCACAGAGATGCTGCAGCAGCAGAATGTGAGTACATGAACTCTGTGCTGCAGAATTTGAGTATCTGCACTTTGTGCTGCAGAATGTTAGTATATGCACTTTGTGCTGCAGAATGTGGGTATATGAACTTAGTGCTGCAGAATGTGAGTATCTGCACTTTGTGCTGCAGAATGTGAGTATATGAATGTGCTGCAGAATGTGGGTATATGAACTTAGTGCTGCAGAATGTGGGTATATGAACTTAGTGCTGCAGAATTGGAGTATCTGCACTTTGTGCTGCAGAATGTGAGTATCTGCACTTTGTGCTGCAGAATGTGAGTATCTGCACTTTGTGCTGCAGAATGTGAGTATATGAATGTGCTGCAGAATGTGGGTATATGAACTTAGTGCTGCAGAATGTGGGTATATGAACTTAGTGCTGCAGAATGGGAGTATCTGCACTTTGTGCTGCAGAATGTTAGTATCTGCACTTTGTGCTGCAGAATGTGAGTATCTGCACTTTGTGCTGCAGAATGTGAGTATCTGCACTTTGTGCTGCAGAATGTGAGTATCTGAACTTTGTGCTGCAGAGTGTGAGTATCTGCATTTTGTGCTGCAGAATGTTAGTATATGCACTTTGTGCTGCAGAATGTTGGTATATGCACTTTGTGCTGCAGAATGTGGGTATATGAACTTAGTGCTGCAGAATGTGAGTATATGAATGTGCTGCAGAATGTGAGTATATGAATGTGCTGCAGAATGTGAGTATATGAACTCTGTGCTGCAGAATGTGAGTATATGAATGTGCTGCAGAATGTGAGTATATGAACTCTGTGCTGCAGAATGTGAGTATATGAACTCTGTGCTGCAGAATGTGAGTATATGAACTCTGTGCTGCAGAATGTGAGTATATGAACTCTGTGCTGCAGAATATGAGAATGTGAACATTGTGCTGCAGAATATGAGAATGTGAACATTGTGCTGCAGAATATGAGAATGTGAACATTATGCTGCAGAATGTAAGTATCTGAACTTTGTGCTGCAGAATGGAGCATCTGAACTTTGTGCTGCAGAGTCAGAGTATCTGAACTTCATGCTGCAGAATGTGATTATCTAAACTTTGTGCGGGAGAATCTGGGTCACTGTAATGTTAGCACAGTGGCTTTCAATATTTTTCATTGGACACACACACCCCCCCCCCCCCCCCCCTTTAATGTATGCCTCCAGGGCAGATTAACAAATGGGAAATGCTGGTGTCAATTTAATCATGTTTGTCGCATTCATCAGCTGTCATCTCTGGCTGAAAGTTGTTGTTTGTCCACTTCTGGAGTTTTGTGTGGACATCCATTTTATAGATCTAGCTATTTGTAGGCAAGCTGTTAGTTAGTCTTACCTCTTGAGCCTAGGGTTGCGCATAGGGCAGAGGTCATAGCTGTCCATGTCTGGCGGTTCGTTGCCACCTGTTTTAGGTCTTGGATATTCATTAGCCCATGGTTGAGCCTTCCCTGATGATGTTTCTACGTAGTGTCCTCTTGGTCTCGGCCGGTTTTTTTTTCCTTTCCAGTGGCCATATGAAGGCTTCACGGGGATGTCTTGTCTTATCCATTCTGACTGCATGGCCGATGTAGTTCCAGCGGCGCTTTCCTATAAAATTGGATACATTATCTTGCTTGGTCTCCCTTCTAGTGTCCATATGAGGGCTTCATTATCTTGCTTGGTCTCTTGTCTTATTGGATCTGAAATCTGCTCTGTAGAGACTTAGTATTCTTCTGAGAAATTTCTTCTCAAAATTCTCCTTTTTTTTTCTTTTATCTAGAGCAAATGTTGCTTTCCAACTCTCACATCCATATGTTAGCCCTGGAATCACACTAAGCAGGTCTGTTTGCGGGTCTGTCTGGACATTATCTCTCCGTCGTCTTTTTGGTCTGCCTCATGGTTTACGACCATTCATCTCCCTTGTGTATACAGTTTTGACTTCTCTGTCATCTGTTATTCTTTCAATATGCCCCAACCATTTCAGTCTATTAGCTCTCATGATGCCAGTAAAATAGCTGAAAACACACACATAGTAACCTGCTTGAAAAGTCATATTTAGAAATATGTGGAAGGTCTCCAGAGGATGATTGTTTTATGTTTATAATGGATTTGTCTCTATATGACCCAACCCTGGTCACTTGTTGTTTCTCTGAAATGGGGCCCCAGAATACGTGCGGGGAACTGGTGTAGACAGTACGTACCACGAGCAAGAATCGTTGCTTTCGTCTGTAACATACATGTGTCTGTGATGTCTAGGTGAGACTGGATGAGACTCAGATGGCAGACGCCAACGAGTTGAAGAACCGTCTGCAGCAGGAGCTGGAGCTACTGATTGCTTACCAGAGCAAGATCAAGATCCACACGGAGGCACAGCATCAGCGGGAGCGCAAGGTGTTGGAGGAGAGAGTCTCTTTACGCCGGGCTTTGTTAGAACAGAAGGTCAGGATTGTTTATTTACTGTTGTTGTGTTAGAACAAAAAGTCAGTGATAGTTTATTTACAGTTGCTGTGTTATAACAAAAGGTCTGTGATTATCATGGTAGTGTTAGAACAGAAGGTCATGATTGTGTTAGAACAGAAGGTCATGGAAGTGTTAAAAGTTATTTACTGTTGTTGTGTTAGAACAAAAGGTTACTACTAATTATCATGGTAGTGTTAGAACAGAAGATCATGGTTGTGTTAGAAGTTATTTACTGTTGTTGTGTTAGAACAAAAGGTCTGTGATTGTCATGGTTGTGTTAGAACAGAAGGTCATGGTAGTGTTAGAAGTTATTTACTGTTGCTGTGTTAGAACAAAAGGTTACTACTGATTGTCATGGTAGTGTTAGAAGTTTTTTACTGTTGTTGTGTTAGAACAAAAGGTTACTACTGATTGTCATGGTGGTGTTAGAAGTTATTTACTGTTGCTGTGTTAGAACAAAAGGTTACTACTGATTGTCATGGTAGTGTTAGAACAGAAGGTCATAGTTGAGTTAGAAGTTATTTACTGTTGCTGTGTTAGAACAAAAGGTTACTACTGATTGTCATGGTTGTGTTAGAACAGAAGGTCATGGTTGTGTTAGAACAGAAGGTCATGGTTGTGTTAGAACAAAAGGTCATGTTTGTGTTAGAAGTTATTTACTGTTGTTGTGTTAGAACAGGAGGTCAGTCATTGTTGTTGTTGTGTTAGAAGCTAGTTACTGTCTTTGTCTTAAAAGTTAGTTACTGTCTTTAGTTACCATGTCTTTAGTTAGTTACCATGTCTTTAGTTAGTTACCATGTCTTTAGTTAGTTACCATGTCTTTAGTTAGTTACCATGTCTTTAGTTAGTTACCATGTCTTTAGTTAGTTACCATGTCTTTAGTTAGTTACCATGTCTTTAGTTAGTTACCATGTCTTTAGTTAGTTACCATGTCTTTAGTTAGTTACCATGTCTTTAGTTAGTTACCATGTCTTTAGTTAGTTACCATGTCTTTAGTTAGTTACCATGTCTTTAGTTAGTTACCATGTCTTTAGTTAGTTACCATATGTCTTTAGTTAGTTACCATATGTCTTTAGTTAGTTACCATATGTCTTTAGTTAGTTACCATATGTCTTTAGTTAGTTACCATATGTCTTTAGTTAGTTACCATATGTCTTTAGTTAGTTACCATATGTCTTTAGTTAGTTACCATATGTCTTTAGTTAGTTACCATATGTCTTTAGTTAGTTACCATATGTCTTTAGTTAGTTACCATATGTCTTTAGTTAGTTACCATATGTCTTTAGTTAGTTACCATATGTCTTTAGTTAGTTACCATATGTCTTTAGTTAGTTACCATATGTCTTTAGTTAGTTACCATATGTCTTTAGTTAGTTACCATATGTCTTTAGTTAGTTACCATGTCTTTAGTCCATGTCTTTAGTTAGTTACCATGTCTTTAGTTAGTTACCATGTCTTTAGTTAGTTACCATATGTCCCCAGTGGAAGGTAAGTCATCACAAAAGTTTCTAAAGGTTTTGTTACAACAGAAAAAAGTTATCATCAAAGTTAGTGTTTTTTTTTTTTAATTAGAACTGAAGTTTAGTTATTATAAAAGATTTTTTTCTGAGCATTAGAAGGGGTTTTCCCCTCACAACTAGAATTCTAATGGTTTTTCACACAGGCTGGTGGAGTTTTTTGTCCACTGGGTTACCCACACTCAGATTCCTGGTTGAATCCCAAAAATATATATAACCTGATAGAAACCAGTGATTTCATATTTGACAAGTGTTCATGTTCATTCACTGGGTTACCCACACTCAGATTCCTGGTTGAATCCCAAAAATATATATAACCTGATAGAAACCAGTGATTTCATATTTGACAAGTGTTCATGTTCATCCACTGGGTTACCCACACTCAGATTCCTGGTTGAATCCCAAAAATATATATAACCTGATAGAAACCAGTGATTTCATATTTGACAAGTGTTCATGTTCATCCACTGGGTTACCCACACTCAGATTCCTGGTTGAATCCCAAAAATATATATAACCTTATAGAAACCAGTGATTTCATATTTGACAAGTGTTCATGTTCATTCACTGGGTTACCCACACTCAGATTCCTGGTTGAATCCCAAATATATATATATAACCTGATAGAAACCAGTGATTTCATATTTGACAAGTGTTCATGTTCATTCACTGGGTTACCCACACTCAGATTCCTGGTTGAGTCCCAAAGATAGTCTGGATTCAGATCTTGAGTTTTGCATGCACATCCATTTTTAAAGATCTGGCTGATTTATGTGCAGACAGTTGTTTCTTTGTCTCTCAGGCAGATGTATTCGGACTTTAAAGGACACACCCCTAATTAGTTGCCTTCTGTGGCCTGCTTGTTTGGGAGGGCGCAGTGGGGTTGTTGTTTTTTTTTTTTATTTATTCTAAAAATGGGGAACACAAACAGGAAGATTTAATATTTGGCAGAGGAATGACCTGGTGTCCCCCTTGATCTCCACAGATGGAAGAGGAGCGGGTGAACTTTGACCGGGAGATCCAAGAGAAAAGATCCCAGCTGCAGGAGAAGCAGGCCAAGGAGCTGGAGGCCTTCGACATTGAGACAACAGCCATGGGCCTCAAGGCCATCGAGGTGGCCCAGGCCTCACTGGAGCAGGTGGACGACGACATCAGTATACGGGGCAGCATGCTCAGTCTCAGTGGGAGCTCTTCCAGCAACTCTTTCACCTCCCACACTCCGTTATAACAGTCGTGTGTGTGTGTGCGTTTTCGTTTGTGTTTTTCTCTTTCTTCTGTTTTGTCGTCCTGACGTTTATGTGATTGCTGTTTTTCTGCAGGCTTCTCCTTCATCTTGTCTTTCTCTCCTCCTTTTCCTGCCGTGTCAGATATTCAGGAAATGTGTATGTATATATATATATATATATAGGTCTAGATGTAAGTACTAACTCCCATACTCTGCAGCCGTTTATTTGTTAGTCATTGTGCCTCAAATAACTGTTCATTTACCCATCGGGTCAGATGTACCTCAGTATAAAACTTTTCACTCACTCACCCATCAGGGCAGATAGGCCTCACGTAATACTGTTCATTTGCCCGCGGAGGCAGATGTGCCTCACATAACTCTTTTTGTTCACCCATCAGGGCAGATTTGCCCAACATAACACTGTTCCTTCACCTGTCAGGGCAGATGCGTCTCACCTAACCCTCTTTACTCATCTGTCAGGGCACATGTGCCTCACCTAGCACTCTACATTCATCTGTCAGGGCACATGTGCCTCACCTAACCCTCTTCATTCATCTGTCAGGGCACATGTGCCTCACCTAACCCTCTTCATTCATCTGTCAGGGCACATGTGCCTCACCTAACCCTCTTCATTCATCTGTCAGGGCACATGTGCCTCACCTAATCCTCTTCATTCATCTGTCAGGGCACATGTGCCTCACCTAACCCTCTTCATTCATCTGTCAGGGCACATGTGCCCCACCTAACCCTCTTCATTCATCTGTCAGGGCACATGTGCCTCACCTAACCGCCTACATTCATTTGTCAAGGCAAATCCTGTACTCCCACGTCTGACTCTCATGAAATCTCATGAAGCCAGATACATTGTGTATATAAATCACACTGTAGTCTTCGGATCACATGAGTAATTCATACATTTGACTCCCAGCACCCCACACATTTGACTCCCAGCATCCCATACACGTTGTCATTGGTCATACCCCCCTCACATGAACTAATAGTTAATCCTCCTCTCATGCAGCATGCAAAATACCACACACTGACACTGAATTGCAGGGCTGTTCAACTAAGTTTGCTCCCCGTGTGGGGAAAGCAAGAATAGACCCACTGCCTTCCTAGCAAGTGTGTTTCGAAGGAGTCGACTAATTGGAGGTTTCCTTTGAAGTCTAAGTATATCTGCCTGAGAGGCAAGGAGCAACCAACTGCACACAAATAAGCCAGTAAAATGGATGTACGCGCAAAACTCAGGCCCTGGCCTGAAGCCAGAGTACAAATGGACGAACAGCCAGGACTTTCTGGTGGAGCTTACAGCCGGGGAATAGAGAGGTAGTATTAAGTTTGGCCAAAATTTTGGAAATGGATCGTCAAGGGCCAAAAACTGGAGCCCAGCCTAGAAAGCTCATTAACATGATACAGCGAAACCAAATCCATGACACAAGTGTCTGAACTGAATTTATCCGAGAGAGTTAACATTATGTGGCTAAACTGTGTCCATGACACAAGTGTCTGAACTGAATTTATCCGAGAGAGTTAACATTATGTGGCTAAACTAAATCCAAGGCACAAGTGTCTAGAATGCATTTATCCGAGACAGTTAACATTACGTGGCTAAAGTGTGTCCACGACACAAGTGTCTGGGCTGGTTGGTTAATGTATGTAGTCTCTGTGTTGTATAGAATATTTATGTGTGGTCTCAGTCTGCACATTTGCTTCCTGTTTGGGAACAGACCGACTGGGCGCTGCGTTTAATTTGGGTGGGACATCAACTGACAGACGAGAACAGTTTTCCTCAAGTGGGTTCTAGATTCCATTTTGATTGAGAAACAGAATAGACACACCCCCTCCTCCTAAAAAGTACGTTGTAAAAGGTGATTAATCAGGGGTTTCCGGAAATTAGAAAAGAGCAGATATCACAGCCTGGCTGTAAGCCGCAACACAGTCTGTCAGCTGCCCTTTTTAGGGGAGGGTATGGTAAGATGTATAGGGTGTCTGGGATTTTGTTCTCTTGTGTATTGGCGTCTAAAAGTGGCTCTTTGAGTCACTCATACTTTTGTGTAACAGTCCTTAAGTGGTATATTTTTTTCTCTGTTTAATGTTGAAGAATTTGGCATGCAAGCCTGTCAAATATTTGTGAATTACAGTGCAGACCACTTGAGGGGATCTTGGATGTGGCAAATTTCTGTTGTGAAGAACTGCGTTTATCCCCTGCAATTGTTCTCGCTTGACTTCTTATCTGAATAGGGGGAATTTCTGAAAATAAAAACCATTTCTTGGGTCCCCGGTGAGTTCTCCTTCTCAGGTCTGCACTGTAGTTTATCACACGTTTAATTGTACATTTTCTTTTTTCACGCTGCCACTGTTTGACAACAAGCAAAATTATGTGTATTTGTCGTAAACACAAAATATTGAAGTGGAAAACTCTGCACATCTGTATATGCAGCGAGACTGAGCATGTAAAACAGAACAACAGTGCCCTTTCCCATGACCTCGGGGATGAGGGGGGATATGATTCTGCAGCCATATTTATATGGGTAGATGTCCGGCGTAGTTGGGTAAACCGAATTGCACGGTGACCGGGTGACGAACTCCTTGTGGTCCGGGTTCACACCCGGGGGTAGGCAGAAAAGCCACATTTTCTCCCAGATTTACGGTACCTATCATGGCATCAAGGCCGAAGGGTTGCGATATCCATAATACCGAGCCTAAGGGTTAACAACTCATGGCTTCTGGATACTATAAAAAAAAAGAGGTAGATTGTCAGTCAGTTGCATGCTGTGGTCTTTGTCAAAGCAGCCAGCTTGACGGTTATATGTGTGTCCTTCAGAGCGGTGTTTTTCAGTGGGTGGTCCGCTAAAATGTCTGGTTAAGCAATTTATATGTAATCATGTAGCGGCTACGTAATTACAGCACTACATGGTACTAAATACATTTGCTAGCTTGCAAGTAGCAGCAGATGTCACATAAGCTGAAACCTGAGTTTGCCACATGGAATTTCACACACAAAAATCACCATCTGCATTTTTTTATGTGTTAGCGGTCGGGTGTTTCGCAACAATTTCCTCTGTTCTGTGGGTGTCGGAAGCTAAAGGTTTAAAGAATACTGCTTTACATGACCTCGCAGATGAAACCCAGCATTTGTTGTTGGCTGTTTTGTGATTTTTCTAAACAAGTTTGCATTCAATAGTTTGCCATTGCTTTCTGAATGATCAGCCCTTGGTGCCATTGTCAAAATCAATGTGAAGCAGGCTTCTGTGCCTTCAGATAGTTTTTGAGTGTGACCCCCTTGACAGCCAGAGCAGAGCGGGTTACTGACATCCAGAGCTGAGCTGGTTACTGACAGCCAGAGCAGAGAGAGTTATGACAGCCAGAGCAGAGCGGGTTACTGACATCAAAGCTGAGAGGGTTACTGACAGCCAGAGCAGAGAGAGTTATGACAGCCAGAGCAGAGCAGGTTACTGACAGGCAGAGCTGAGCAGGTTACTGACAGGCAGAGCTGAGTAGGTTACTGACAGGCAGAGCTGAGAGGGTTACTGACAGCCAGAGCAGAGCGGGTTACTGACAGGCAGAGCTGAGCAGGTTACTGACAGGCAGAGCTGAGCAGGTTACTGACAGGCAGAGCTGAGAGGGTTACTGACAGCCAGAGCAGAGCGGGTTACTGACAGGCAGAGCTGAGCGGGTTACTGACAGCCAGAGCAGAGAGGGTTACTGACAGCCAGAGCAGAACGGGTTGCTGACAGCCAGAGCAGAACGGGTTACTGACAGGCAGAGCTGAGCGGGTTACTGACAGCCAGAGCAGAGCGGGTTACTGACAACCGGTAAAAGACAGTGCATCTTAGCACCGACTGCTTAAGCTGATGTCAGATGTGGCGAATTTCTGTTGTAAAAAGCGATTTGTTTATCCCCGGCAACAAACTCTTCTTACCTGGATAAATAAGAGGAATTTTTTATAAGAACTTTTTCTGAGGACCCTGGTGAGTTCTCCTTATCAGGTCTGCTCTGTCTGTAATTATTGACCAACAGATTGGTGGGCAGTAGTTGTCTGGCGGTGAAAGAGTTCAGTGGGTGCCAGGAATGTTCCTGGCCACATCGTGCAGTTTTATCACTGGTCTGGTCCATGTCAGAGTGTGTCCTGATGGCATGGGACAGGGCTCTTGTGTGTATATGTATGTAAGTATATATATATATATAAACTGTGAGTTATGGTGTGGTGTGCTGACTTGCTTGCCTTGTGGTATGGTTGGCACGTGTTTCACTCATGCTGTGACCCCATGACCTCTATCACTGAAAAGGAGGGGGGGGGGGGGGCGCCTTACATGAAAATGGGACACCAGCTTGGCCTTAGAAATGCTATTTGGCTCAAATGTATACTTCACCCCTTGCTTGTTATATGCTCTTTGATGTGTATATTGTAAAAAGTGACTTATCTGGAGTTTAAATAAATCTGATGATTTTGGTGAAGATATCACAGCCTAGCTGTATAAACCAAAACATAATCACGATTTTACAGGAGTGAAACACATGACCACTGCCCTCTAGGCAAGTGGGTCGGCTACTGAAGTTCTGTTCGGAGTTAATTGTTGTTGATGAATGGAGTTTGCCGTATGTTTGTGTGATGTCAATACAAGAGCATAATGAATCCATCCCCTGTAGAGAGAGCACATCATTGCCAATAGTTTAAGCAATGTCTAGTGCCCTTGTATATAGTTGCTGTCTGCTCAGGGAGACAGAAGTATGTGTATGATGATAATGTTGAATGATTCATTAGTCGGAACTTTGCTACTGTTAAAGAAATACATTTTATTAATTGTGCTTTGCCAGCCACTTCTCTTGGAATATTAATTTGGGCTTCTGTTCTTGATAGAATTCACCAGCTGTCAACTTCAGCCCAAAGTCCTGGTTGTTTGTCCACTCCTGAACTTTGGCCTGGTTCCAGGTCTGGAGTTTTGCTTGCATATTCATTTCAGAGATCTGTTTTATTGTGTGTCAGCTGTTCTTCACCTCTCGTGCACGTGAAGTCAACGTTGATCCTGTCTTCGTTGGTCCACCGGCTCTAGGTAGAGAACCAGTTGCTAAGGGTGACCTCAGAGAGTTGTGGATAGGACTTGACCCCTTAGGAGTTTGGGTCCTGTTGGACCGCCACGTGTGGTTTTCCTCCTTTTTTTTTCATGTAAGTGCCGTGTAGATGTGCCTGTTTATGGCAGAGCTGCTATATTTGCGCCTTTCGGCACCACTACATCTCTACTACTACTGACTTGAAGATGATATTTGTGTCTGTGTGTAACCGCCTCATGGACATCCCACATTTTTGAATGCAGGCTAGGTGGAGTTCACGCACAGCAAGATGTTTGGTGCTTATAGTAGACTTACGGTGTTTTTGGGGGGGTTAAAATCTCTATGTGTATGACCTGATTGATATCAGAGAGTTGCAGAAAACTAAATCTAAACTTAGAATAAATGAGGCCAAAAAAATTCTAAACAAAAATGATAAATGTTTCTTCTGTAAAATGACAAGTCTCATTATTTGTCAGTTGCCACTTTTGCCGTTAAGCCTCGTTGGAGAGAAACAGTTCGCGATCCATTGTTTGATGTCATTTGCCATTGCTGCTGTTGTCCATCTAAACCAAAGTAAAAGGTCTATTAATGCTATCAGTCCATCATCTCAAAGGACGAACTCTTGTTTCACACGAGATCTCTAGTGTCTGTGTTAGTAGTCGTGGCTGTCTTCTAAAGAGATAACAGAACTATTTGATCTTTTGTTTCTCAGTGCCAGGTGTTGTTCCCACTTTATTTCTCACGCTGTCTTGGATGGTTCAGTTGGCTGCCCTCAAGTCTAAGGAGTTTATTTCACAGATGTTGTACTCGACCACAATGCTGGTTGAAGTCAGTTTTTCAAATGTCAGCCTCAGATGGGCATTTGTGTATGTTCCCCCCCCCCCCCCCCCCTCAAATATTTGTGGGCCTCTGCCATTGCTCTAGTACATGCAATATTGTTATTATAAGTATCATTATAGTTAATATGTATTTCCATTCATGTATAAATACAAATGAAATAAAAAAACACACTAATATTTGAGTTTCATAGTAACTGTTTGTTCATTGCTTTTCTCAAACTGGAAATGAGAGTTGGTCTGTTCATTTTTCTAACCAGCTGTATGTGTAAAGACATACGGGCTAATATTCATTCAGGCAATCAATCTGAGAGATGGAAGTTTACAGGCAATCTGAGTGATAGAGGTTTACAGGGAGGCAATCAGAGAGAGAGAGAGAATTGTTCACAGGCTAATCAACATGAGACAGACAATCAATAGACACATTTTTACAGGTAATCTGAGACAGATTTTTACAGGCAATCAGTCTGAGACTGATTTACATGCAATCAGTCACAGAGATTTACAGATTCTAAAGTTACAATAATAACCAGAGACAGTAGAAACTGTCCGGGGTTTTTAAGTTAAAATAAAAAAAACCCAGCCACGATGAGTTGGAATACACACATTCTAGGGCAGGGGTAGGCAAACGTGGCCCGCAAGCAATTTTTTACTGGCCCACGAGGCTGGTGTAAAATTACTGCTGAATCTGTTCTTTGAGCTCACAACAACACACAAAACCATGTGTTCATAGGCAGAAAGAAAGGAAAAAATCAACATCCCAATAACAAAATGTATATATAACCAAAACAGTTATACCAGAAACTGATGTCACCAAATCTTCAACCCTGCTGATGTGGACAAACTTGGACAGTTACAAGGAACTCTGGGTGTCATGTTTACTTTGAATTATTTTTTTTCTGAACGGCCTATGACCAGACTAAATGTGGACCCACAGGGTTGTCTGCCCCTCGTGTAGGATAAAAGATTGGCAGTCCCCAACCTAATGGTTCAGGAAGACAATCATAGTTATAGCCGAAGTGGTCAAACCGTTCATTAGTGCAATTTTTACAGAGATTCCTGGGGATAGTCACCGGAGCTATGGGGTTGTGCTTTGTGTGCCAGAGAGGTAAGCAGCTAGCCCTTCTACAAAGAGATGTTAAGCCAATGAAGTCAATCCGGTGAGTGATGTTTAACCCTACTAGGACCACCATACAACAAGCGACTAATACCCAGTGAAACAAAGTGCCACCAATAGGATGAAACCCCTCCCCCGTTCAACTGTAAGATTATATGGAGGCCCCGCCCGAAAGTTATGAAGTCCAGTCGGGGTGGAGTATTAATGTCCAAGAAATGTGTTTTTACCAAGTCAATCCTCTCCATTTTGGTTTTACTAATACCGAAAAGGGGAAATAATAATAACAAAGGGACATAACTTCAAGAAACATTACAATGGAGTTTGTTCTGGGTACTGAAATTGCTATATTAGTTGAAAATCAAAAAAAAAGAAATTATCTTTGTCAGAAGCGCTAATTGCGTAATAAATATAGTTTATACCTCATAAATACCTATTAAATACATAAGTTCAAATGAAAAATATTTATACAAAAGTAATTTTTCAAGTAAATAATTTTCGTTGATATCTGAAAAACGTACACAAAGGACCATTGTCACAAACATGCCTCTCCACAATTATGTGAAGAAAAAAGTTTTCTTTGAAAGCACTTCATTGTGCTACAATTTAAAACTTGTAAATGAATATCTGAGCCTTAGACAGACAACCATGAAGTCCACTGCAAGTGACTAATTATTCAAACTTGATTATGTCCTCCAGCTGTCTCGAGGCATGGTGTCTACCTTGAGCGCTGGAGGTTCTGGGTTCAATCATGTGGACTTCTAGTAATCTGGTAATCCTAGTTTCAGCTTCATAGCAAACGGGTCACCCCATAGTTGCTCCGCTCCTGTGCCAACGAAAAACACACATAGCTCACAGTGTCACACCATACACTCAACTCAGAAGCTGGGCGACAAAACTATAGTACTTCTAGTAATTCCCCCCTGGTCAGGTAGAGAGATCGGACGCCCTTCTGCATTGTTGCGAACATTTTAAAAAATCCCTTGGCAGTTGGAAATTGAAAAGAGCGCTAACAGCGCTGCCCGGGCAAAATTTTGAGATAAAATCTAGTATTTCAGGATCCTCGCCGGTGCTACAGAGTCTGTGTACTGTGCTGAGCTTCTTCAGACTTAGACTTGTTAGAAGAAAAATGGAACACTTATGCGTTATTACCCCTGTGCCATGATGTTGATCCGTTCTTCAAACTTCACCAGCTGTAAACTCCAGCAGGGCTGTCTGCAGTGCCACTATCTGGTGGTAGTTTTCATGCATGTCCAAACCATTTGATCTGATGTCTCGTGATGTAATTCTATACTGGCTGGGTCCCAACTTGTTTCCTTATATCGTCATTTCTGATCCGGTCTTTTCTAGCTACATTTAGGATTCGGCATAGACACTTCATTTCTGTTTTGATTTTTCTTTCTTGTTTAGAAAGAGCACAGAGTGGACAATAGCACAAAAAAAGCTAAGCATTATTTTACATCTTTATCCCTGTTTTAAAAAAAAATAAAAACCATTTACATCTATAATTAAACTTGCAGTCATACACATACGCGGCATCCGTGGCGAGTCCGACTCGTAACCCAACGTACCGCGATCGAACCCCACTGCTGGCTGCGTGGATTTTTATCATGGTATGGGGCGTCTCAGGTCGAACCAACCTAAAATGGGTACCTTCCTGGGGAAGTAAAGACGGCTGGCGTAATGCTGACCACATTACCCATCCAGTGCCGATTGGTCTGTAAAAATATGGGACACTCTGCCCATATACCCGATGCGCCTAAGGCGTTAAAAAGGATCTTTACTTTTTTTTTTACATACACATACATATCATTTGTCCTTTGCTCAACTTGGAATGTTATCAATAACAAAATTATCTTATATAATACAATACAATTACATCATGTAAATGAGATTCACATATAACATCAATAACAACAATTATTAACTCTTTGAGTCCCAAGGAACGCATCATATGTTCATAAGTTCCCGCCTAGAGGCCCAATGAACGCAAGATGCGACGATTTTACATCTTTTTTGACTACCCCTTGGGCCTCTGATGCTAAACCCCCTGGGACCCAAAGAGTTAAACAATAAGCTCAGCAGTGTCCATGGCAAAAACTTGTGTAAAAACAATGTAAAGAACATTATATCTTCATGCTGCTATAAGCAATCTCTTCTTCTTGTTTTTTTTTTACATTCACTGGCTGTAAACTCCGACAGAAAAGTCTGAGTGTTCATCCACCTTGTTCCAGAACCTGAGTGTTGCATGCACACCTGTTTCTCAGATCTGGCTTATTTCTAGGCAGACTCTTGGTTCTTTGCCTCTCAGGCAGATGTACTTCTAAGAGTTCCTCACAATAAGGCCCAAGAACACACACAGGGAGTTATGATCCAATAAACAAAGTGTTCCCAAAAAAATTTGTTTGAATATTAACCAAACAGTTCCTACAAGCAATATCTTCGGGCGAACAACATGCCAAAATGGCCTACAATTCCCGTTCCTTCGAAACGTCTGTAAATTTAATTTGGTCACTACTTGGCAATAAACCAGCCTGCTCCTCCACTATACTAACTTTCCCTGATGATGCCAGGTGGCCATTGGCCCCTGCAGCCTCTTCATCTCTGGAGATGTCTTCTACCTCTTGCACCGAGTCGGGCAGTCTGCGGTTGTGAGTTTCAGGGAGAGGGAACAGGAAAATGCCTGCAACCACAGCCATGACTCCAAAGATAATGGTAGCGTCCACACTCCACAGAACCTTTGTCTGAGGACAAGAGAAGATGGTTTCAGTGATCGCAGGGCAGCATCTCAGTTAGTCAGGCCAGTACAGTCAAGTTAGCTGCATTTCATTTACAGGACATCGCAAACCTTGTTCTTGTTAAGCGTTTGCCGGCTGTAAACGGGCAGAAAGTTGTGGTTGCCTGTCCATTTCTGGACATTGATCCTGTTCCAGAATTCCAGTTCTCGGTGCAAATCCGTTTGACATATCTGGCTTATTTGTGTGCAGACTGTTGGTTCCTCCCCTCTCTGTCGGATGTACGCCAACTTTGAAAGAAATACCCCTTATTAGTCTATACACCCCCCTCACCCCCATATGAGGCCCTGGAAACATGCATGGGGCTTCGCAAACCAACACCAGCCCTTTTTTAGGGCTGTTTGTTGGTTTACTAGACAATTTTACGTTCAGTAGTTTGCTAGTCCTTTTTGAACGAATAAATGCCCATAATGTTGTCAAAAAACAAAGCGGTCAGCTGCCAAATCATCTGCAGCTGATTTGGAATATGCTGAAACTATCAAACTGTGCTCTTGACCTTGAAGCTATGAATGCTGGAGTCGTTACAGTCAAGGACCACTTTTCCGGTCAGGTGTGTACAGTTGATGCTTCTAGCTCCTACAAGAGAATACCAATCGGCATTCCACATGTAAAGTAAACAGCCTTTCTCATGCCACAGGTGATTCAGTATACTGCTTTCTTCTTCACTTCTTTTCTTACCCTTCAGGTGTCAAAGGAGATATCTTCTTTTTAACGTTCAGTCAGTCAGTCAGTAGCATGTCCTTTGCAGAACCTTGCTCCCATAACAACCCTCTGGAAAACTTCTCAATCATAAGTAAGATGTTGGGCGCCCGATACACCCATCTGGAGATCATCTGCCACATCCAGCACCCATCTTTTCTTTGGCCTTCTGCTTCCTCTCTTTCCAGGCATTTACCGCTCCATTATTGTTCTCTCTAAACTTTCGTGACGTTTCAAGTGACCAAAATATTTCAATGTTCGGTGTTTTATTGTCTTTAATAGCCAACCTTCTTCAATATTCAGTTCTTGAAGTATGGATGCATTTGTTTTTTTCTTTACCCATGATATTCCTAGAACCTGTCTATAAAGTTTCCCAGCTGTAAACTCTGGCAGAAACTTCTGATTCTTCATCCACTTCTGGAGTTTAGTCTTGTTCCAGAACTTGAGTCTTGCATGGACATTCATTTTACATATCCGGCTAACTTGTATGCTGACTGTTGGTTTCTCACCACTTAGGCAGATGCACTTCTTCTTCAAGTTCACTGGTTGTAAACTCTGGCAGAAAGTTCAGGTTGTTCGTCCACTTCTAGGCTGCAGTCCTGTTCCAGAACCTGAGTGTTGCGTGTGCATCCGTTTGACAGATCTGACTAATTTGTATGCAGACTGTTGGTTTCTTGCCTCTCAGGCAGGTGCATTCCACTTCGAAGGAAGCTCCCAATTAGTCGACTCTTACGACATGCTTCTGGTTAGGCAGTGGGTCTATTGTTTTCCCTATAATAGGGCCCCAGAACCCACACGGGAGAGATGCACTCCAAATTTGAAGAAAGCACTCCTAATTAGTCGACTCTTGCAACAGGCTTTTGAGATGGGCATTAGATCTATTGTTTCTTCCCCCAAAATGAGGAGCTCCACAAACCCACAGGCATGTGGAGTTTAGCAGCATGTTTACTGAACTTACCCACTGGTTGATCTGAGGGGCAGCCACACCGCCAGCTCGAGCCCACAGGCAGCAGGCCCCCATTCCAATATTGCTGAAAACAGAAACACAACAATGAGTCTCACCCACTGGACAGACAACAGTTTTGATACAGATGTTTCCACAGAAAATCAGTCACGAAGAGAAGTATTCTACTTGTTCTGTAATTGCCATTAAACGTGCATGTTGTGTTGCAGTTTACAGCTAGGCTGCAATATATGTCTCTTCTGTCCTAACAAAACCTTTTTTAAATAATATAGACACAAACAATGCATTCCACAATCTACTGCCTGGCATATTTCACTATAACTCATCAATGCAATACTATATAATTAAAATAGCACATAGTGAAGCAACAATAACAACACAAATGAATTCTTTTCACTGAAAAACAAAATCACACTGTTACTATCAAGTTTGTACACCTCTCCACCACAAATTCAAGACTACTATGGTAACTTTAACTTTATTACATGATCTTTTTGTTTACACAGTTTTATTGATATAGTCTCAGCTAATTTTAGTAAACACCTACTCAATGCATGGTAAATCATTCTGAGGGCACAATCCTTACAATTATACGCCCAGCGTCAAGCAAATGTCGTTCTATCAAAGAACTGGGTTCTCTGCATTAAGATCTGCCGAAAAGATAGAATCCAATTCTTCCCTTGACTATGAACAACCTAATTACCTACAAAACTGAACACGGTCACTAACAAACCTTCTCTAACTGTTGAACTGTTCCGTTTAACTGTGAGATAAACTTCTGATGTCTTCTTCTTCTTCACGTTCACCAGCTGTACACTCTGGCGGAAAGTTTTGGTTGTTCGTCCACTACTGAACTGCAGTCCTGCTCCAGAACCTGAGTGTTGCGTGTGCATCAGTTTTACAAATCTCATTCTCTTGAATACAGACTGTTGGTTCCTTGCCTCTCCGGCAGATGCACTCCGACTTCAAAGGAAGCTCCCCAATTAGTCGACTCTTACGACATGCTTTTGGGTAGGCAGTGGGTCTATTCTTGTTTTCCCCTACAATGGGGCCCCGGAACCCACACGGGGGACTTCTGATGTGAAGTTCTGGAGTTTACTTCTGGTAAATGCAAAGAACTAGAAGATGATAGAAACCAGCCAACTTAACAAAAACTATTTTAAAACACATAAAACTGGACACTGTCACTAAAAAGCTTTCTTTGGCTGTGGAGCCGTACCGTATAACTGTAGGGTAGACCTCCGATGTGTAGACAAAGATAATGCCAAACAGGCCAGCCACTGCACATCGACCTGCCAGGGCTAAGGCAACTGTAACATTGAACCAGCCTGGAAGAAAACATAAGACACATCCGGTCATTTTCTAGGTTGACTGACTACAACAATCTTAATCCCTTCACCTTGTGCATGCTAAAAACCAAAAAAAATGGGTCATAACCCCGTATGAATTTCCTGTCGAAAATTCTGCTAAAAACAAAAAACACATTACATAGGTCACTAATAAACTACATATATTTATTTATCTAAATTTTTAATGTTCTTTTAAAATTTATAAAGAGATATATGAAGGGGTAATCAATCAACATGAAATATATATAGGGGTAATCAATCAACATGAATTATATGAAGGGGTAATCAATCAACATGAAATATATAAAGGGGTAATCAATCAACATGAAATATATAAAGGGGTAATCAATCAACATGAAATATATGAAGGGGTAATCAATCAACATGAAATATATAAAGGGGTAATCAATCAACATGAAATATATGAAGGGGTAATCAATCAACATGAAATATATTAAGGGGTAATCAATCAACATGAAATATATGAAGGGGTAATCAATCAACATGAATTATATGAAGGGGTAATCAATCAACATGAACAGAGTGAAGGAGTAAATGAAATGTTTTTTTTATGGTTGTGGGTTGATTGAGTGTAGGGTTTAACTGGTTGGTTGGGTGTAAGGTTTAACTGGTATGTTGGGTGTAAGGTTTAACTGGTTGGTTGGATGTACAGTTTAAATGGTTGGCTGGGTGTACAGTTTAAATGGTTGGCTGGGTGTACAGTTTAACTGGTTGGCTGGGTGTACAGTTTAAATGGTTGGCTGGGTGTACAGTTTAAATGGTTGGCTGGGTGTACAGTTTAAATGGTTGGTTGGGTGTACAGTTTAAATGGTTGGCTGGGTGTACAGTTTAAATGGTTGGCTGGGTGTACAGTTTAAATGGTTGGCTGGGTGTAATGCTTAACTGGTTGGTTGGGTGTAAGGTTTAACTGGTTGGTTGGGTGTAATGCTTAACTGGTTGGTTGGGTGTAGGGTTTAACTGGTTGGTTGGGTGTAAGGTTTAACTGGTTGGTTGGATGTACAGTTTAAATGGTTGGCTGGGTGTACAGTTTAAATGGTTGGCTGGGTGTACAGTTTAAATGGTTGGCTGGGTGTAATGCTTAACTGGTTGGTTGGGTGTAAGGTTTAACTGGTTGGTTGGGTGTAATGCTTAACTGGTTGGTTGGGTGTAAGGTTTAACTGGTTAGTTGGGTGTAAAGTTTAAATGGTTGGTTGGGTGTAACGCTTAACTAGTTAGTTGGGTGTAAGATTTAACTGGTTGGTTCGGTGTAAGGTTCAACTGGTTGGTTAGGTATATGTGTTAACTGGTTAGTTGGCAACCCTCTGGAAGTGTCTGACATAATGCTGGTCTGTGAGACTGATGAGCCAACACTTAGCATAAGTCAACATTCAGCATAAGTCAACACTCAGCATAAGTCAACACTTACAGTCAAGAGATCTGTGTTAGGTATCCTTCTCCGTTCCACTTACACCAGCAGTTCTCAACATATGGGTCGCGACCCCTTGGGGGGGGGGGGCGAGGGGTGAACGACCCTTTCAAGGGGTTGCCAAAGACCATCACCAAACACATATTCACTGAAGTTATGGAGTAGCAACGAAAATAATTGTGAGGTTGGGGGGTTGCCACAACATGAGGAACTATATTAAAGGGTCGCCGCTTTAGGAGGGTTGAAAACCACTGACTTACAGTACCATATTTAGATGTGTGTGGGCTTTCTGACAACAGATAGACAGACAGACAGAAAGAAAAAAATGAATGAAAGCATGCTTGACAGAATGAATGAATGAAAACAGGACCCACCTGTGGTGTAGTCACTGACAATGCCAGCACCCAGACACAAGGCAGCAGCAGCAACAAAACATGCCAACAGAGGCTTCTTGCGGCCAAACCTTCAACATACAGAGAAGATATTCACACCAAAACATGCCAACAGAGGCTTCTTGCGGCCAAACCTTCAACATACAGAGAAGATATTCACACCAAAACATGCCAACAGAGGCTTCTTGCGGCCAAACCTTCAACACACAGAGAAGATATTCACACCAAAACATGCCAACAGAGGCTTCTTGCGGCCAAACCTTCAACACACAGAGAAGATATTCACACCAAAACATGCCAACAGAGGCTTCTTGCGGCCAAACCTTCAACACACAGAGAAGATATTCACACCAAAACATGCCAACAGAGGCTTCTTGCGGCCAAACCTTCAACACACAGAGAAGATATTCACACCAAAACATGCCAACAGAGGCTTCTTGCGGCCAAACCTTCAACATACAGAGAAGATATTCACAACAAAACATGCCAACAGAGGCTTCTTGCGGCCAAACCTTCAACATACAGAGAAGATATTCATACGTCTGCAAGAAAATTTCTTCTTCTTCTTAAAGTCTATGCTGTGTGATGTTGGTAGTCATGTCTCGTGTACTTTCAATCAACTCTGAAACAGATGATCTTCCATGCCATGATATCAAACTGTCCAGCTTCTTTTCTCTCGCCCTCCCTCTGCCTCTCCTTCCCTCCAACTTTTCTACTGTCCCGATGTACTCCAGTTTTCTCCTTCTCATCTCATGACCAAAGTATGTAGATTGTCTCTTTCTGATGTGGGCAATCAGTCTCTTCGTGAGTCAGTTTCTTTCAAGATAAGAAAATTTAAGCAGTTAATAATATAGTTAGTTACATATCCTTTACGGCAGGCATATCAAACTGAAGGTTCTCCGAGGGCCATACAAGTCACATTTGTGCTGTCATGATGGGCGCATACGACAACTAACTGGAGTCATTTAGAAGAAATTATTGCTTTGCAAAGGGCCGCAGGCAGCACACGGGCCGAATGTCTGACAGACTGCTTTACATGTCGTTGCAACCTTAGCATTGTTGGGCTGTTTGGTTTTGCCAGCAATGTTAGTCTCTATACTTTGCCATTCTTTCCCAAAGGTGTCTTTACCGTGCCGCCGCCGCGGAGGGGAAGTCTATGTTCCTCAATGACCCCGAGAGCTACGCTGGCACAAGTGTTGCTACTGGCAGGGCCTACCAAGCTGGACAGGTCTAAAGATAGAGATCCTCGCGTGGGATCTGGGGTCAGTTTATTTTTTTGGGTAGGGGGGGGAGAACAGACCCACTGCCCCCTAGGAAGATTGTCGTACAAGGTGACTACTCAGGGGTGTTTTCACCAAAGTCAGAGTGCACCTGCTTGAGAGGCAAGGAACCAACAGCCTGCATAGACATAAGCAAAATTTTTAAAAGGGATGTGCAGCATGCAAAACTCAAGTTCGGGAACTGCATCAAAGTCCATAAGTCGACAAACAAACAAAACTGAATGCTGGAGTTTACAGCCTGTAAACATTATTATGAGAAAGAGACTGTGCTTTAGGACAACATTAAGGAGAAGAAATTGAGCTCTAAGAAAACTTTAAGGAAAAGAAATTGTGCTCTAAGAAAACATTAAGGAGGAGAAATTGTGCTTTAGGAAAACATAAAGAAGGAGAAGAAATTGTGCTTTAGGGAAATTATAAGAAGGAGAAGAAATTGTGCTTTAGGGAAATATTAAGAAGGAGAAGAAATTGTGCTTTAGGAAAATATTAAGAAGGAGAAGAAATTGTGCTTTAGGGAAATATTAAGAAGGAGAAGAAATTGTGCTTTAGGAAAATAATAAGAAGGAGAAGAAATTGTGCTTTAGGGAAATATTAAGAAGGAGAAGAAATTGTGCTTTAGGGAAATATTAAGAAGGAGAAGAAATTGTGCTTTAGGGAAATAATAAGAAGGAGAAGAAATTGTGCTTTAGGGAAATATTAAGAAGGAGAAGAAATTGTGCTTTAGGGAAATAATAAGAAGGAGAAGAAATTGTGCTTTAGGGAAATATTAAGAAGGAGAAGAAATTGTGCTTTAGGGAAATATTAAGAAGGAGAAGAAATTGTGCTTTAGGGAAATATTAAGAAGGAGAAGAAATTGTGCTTTAGGGAAATATTAAGAAGGAGAAGAAATTGTGCTTCAGGGAAATATTAAGAAGGAGAAGAAATTGTGCTTTAGGGAAATATTAAGAAGGAGAAGAAATTGTGCTTTAGGGAAATATTAAGAAGGAGAAGAAATTGTGCTTTAGGGAAATATTAAGAAGGAGAAGAAATTGTGCTTTAGGGAAATATTAAGAAGGAGAAGAAATTGTGCTTTAGGGAAATATTAAGAAGGAGAAGAAATTGTGCTTTAGGGAAATATTAAGAAGGAGAAGAAATTGTGCTTTAGGGAAATATTAAGAAGGAGAAGAAATTGTGCTTTAGGGAAATATTAAGAAGGAGAAGAAATTGTGCTTTAGGGAAATATTAAGAAGGAGAAGAAATTGTGCTTTAGGGAAATATTAAGAAAGAGAAGAAATTGTGCTTTAGGGAAATATTAAGAAGGAGAAGAAATTGTGTTTTAGGAAAATATTAAGAAGGAGAAGAAATTGTGCTTTAGGGAAATATTAAGAAGGAGAAGAAATTGTGCTTTAGGGAAATATTAAGAAGGAGAAGAAATTGTGCTTTAGGGAAATATTAAGAAGGAGAAGAAATTGTGCTTTAGGGAAATAATAAGAAGGAGAAGAAATTGTGTTTGAGAATCGCAGCCAATGATGATGGCCTGTGTGCCTAGCACAACCCGCTCCCACAGAGAAAAGTCTTCCCCAGTCAGAGCGTGTGATTTCAGGACCACTGTTACTACTGGTATCTTTAACATGTTTCACCTCAGACACTCGACTCTTGACCTATATGAAATCATTTTTTCCTGTATTCCTATTCCCTGCCAGATCTTCCCACTCCATGCAACATGGTTCATGACAACCTGTTCCCATTAATCCATGTCAATACCTATATCATTCATGTGCCGCTTGCAGACATCTTTGTATCATTTATAATTAAGAAGAGTTTGGAGGCAACTGAGATGTGGTTCTTGAGAAGAATGTTGAGAATACCTTAGGCTGCCAGAATAACTAACAATGATTGCCTGGAAATGACTAATGAAAGTAGAACATTATATTCAACAATGAGAAGGAGACCCAAAAAAAAGTTCTTTCATCATGTGATGAGAAAAGGAGCACTGGAAAATATTGTGACGACTGGAAAGATCACTGGTAGAAGAGGCACAGGCAGACCAAGAGAAATTTGGCGGATGGCTTAAGACAGTGGCATGGTGGAATATCATCCGTGGAATTGATCCAGAACACCAAATCTGTGGGGATGCATGAACACCTACACCAGCTGGCAAGGCATTTAATGACAGCAATGAGAGGCTGACCTCAACATCTTGTCAGGGACTGCCTCAACCTCCATTCTCAGCTGTATATCCTAGAATATGGAAATCTGTCCAACCATTTCCCCTGGTATGAATAAGTTTGACTGCAATCAAGAAGAATCCTAAGAACAACGCTACAGTCAGCAGTCAAGACAGTCACACATGGTGGTACTCACCTCTTCATGACTGGGAGAATCCTGAGAACACAACGCTACAGTCAGCAGTCAAGACAGACACACATGGTGGTATTCACCTCTTCATGACGGGAAGAATCCTGAGAACACAGCGCTACGGTCGGCAGTCAAGACAGACACACATGATGGTACTCACCTCTTCATGACTGGAAGAGTCCTGAGAACACAGCGCTACAGTCAGCAGTCAAGACAGACACACATGGTGGTATTTACCTCTTCATGACTGGAAGAATCCTGAGAACACAGCGCTACAGTCAGCAGTCAAGACAGTCACACATGGTGGTACTCACCTCTTCATGACTGGAAGAGTCCTGAGAACACAGCGCTACAGTCAGCAGTCAAGACAGACACACATGGTGGTACTCACCTCTTCATGACTGGAAGAGTCCTGAGAACACAGAGCTACAGTCAGCAGTCAAGACAGACACACATGGTGGTACTCACCTCTTCATGACTGAAAGAGTCCTGAGAACACAGCGCTACAGTCAGCAGTCAAGACAGACACACATGGTGGTACTCACCTCTTCATGACTGGAAGAGTCCTGAGAACACAACGTACAGTCGGCAGTCAAGACAGACACACATGATGGTACTCACCTCTTCATGACTGGAAGTGTCAGAATGTAGGCCAGCGTCTCCACTGCTCCTCCGATAAAAAATATCAGGTATCGACTTCCAGAGAAACTGGTCAGTTGGAATGTGAGACCATAGTAGCTAGCAGAGATGGCGAACCTAGAACACCAATAGAACAATATATATATATATATATATATATATACTAGAACATGATGGGAGATAGAAAATAAAGTACATAGATAGAACAATATATGAGATCATGATAGCTGGCAAAGATGGCAAACTTAGAACACCAATAGAACAAAATATATACTAGAACATGACGGAGATAGCAAACATAGTACATAGATAGAACAATATATGAGATCATGATAGCTGGCAAAGATGGCGAACTTAGAACACCAATAGAACAAAATATATACTAGAACATGACGGAGATAGCAAACATAGTACATAGATAGAACAATATATGAGATCGTGATAGCTGGCAAAGATGGCGAACTTAGAAAACCAATAGAACAAAATATATACTAGAATATGACGGAGATAGCAAACATAGAACATAGATAGAACAATATCCGAGATCATGATAGCTGGCAAGGATGGCAAACATAGGACACTGATAGAACAATATAATCATCTTCTTTCTCTCTACCTTCAGATATTGGGTCCAGTTTCCAGAGCCTGAAACATCATCTCTGTATTTCTAGATACCTCATCATCACCATCTGATATTCTTCTTCGCTTCGGGTGTCGAGAGAGATATAAGGTTCTGGTTACTGCTTTTCTGGCTGCCTCGACCACAGATACATTGTGCTGTTTGTAGAGTCCTTCTGATGTTATCTTTTCATCGTGTTCTTGGTCTACCTTGTGCTGCACGTCCTTCTCTTTTGGTGTATGCCTTGTATCGTATGATGTCACGGGGCATTCTCTCTAGGTGGGCAAGCAACTGAGCTGCTGTCTTTTGTCTTTGTACCTAATATCCATAACTCCAGAGCATGCTGGTGTATTGGGACTTGAACAGGAAGATAAAATGGCTGGTTCTCCACAACCTTGTGGTGAACTCCTCTTTGGGGGGGGGGGGGGGGGGGGTGTGTGAGTGAACAGTGCACAGGCACAAACATACCTCCATTGTCTCAGGAGAATAGTGCTGTGAGGAGTGCCCAGGGCAGGGGTTTTCAAACTGGGTGCTGCGAGCGCCTGGGGGGGGGGGGGGGGGGGGGGGGGGGGGGGGTGCCGGCGCAATAATCAGTATTTCAAAATCAGCTTGAGATTAGCCAAGACAGCAGTTTAAAACAGACATACAGTGAAGGAAGCCAACAGGAATTTTTTTAAAGCCCAATCGTCAACCAGAAACTACACAGAAACAAAGAACTTAGATGTGACGTCACATCACACAGAAACAAAGAACTTAGATGTGACGTCACATCACACAGAAACAAAGAACTTAGATGTGACGTCACATCACACAGAAACAAAGAACTTAGATGTGACGTCACATCACACAGAAACAAAGAACTTAGATGTGACGTCACATTACACAGATTAAACTAAGAATAATCCTCACAACTTGAAGTCAGCAAATAAACACGGACTTGATATAACCACCGCTCAAGTAAGGAGCAGGTTGAATGAGTCACAAAGTTTGTTATTTTTCCCCCCTAAAAATTAAAATAGGTCGATTGAGGAAGCCAAGAAGAGTCCTGGATGTAAGTGTATTGAGAAGAAAAGAAGAGTCCTGGATGCAAGTGTATTGAGGAAGCCAAGAAGAGCCCTGGATGCAAGTGTATTAAGAAGCCAAGAAAAGTCCTGGATGCAAGTGTATTGAGGAGCCAAGAAGAGTCCTGGATGCAAGTGTATTGAGGAGCCAAGAAGAGTCCTGGATGCAAGTGTATTGAGAAGCCAAGAAGAGTCCTGGATGCAAGTGTATTGAGAAGACAAAGCTACTGGCAAGGCTACAGTGCAATCTCAATTTTCTGCTTACATAAAAAAAAAAGAGATACAGGAGCAAACTTTCTGGGTCAAGTAATTTCAGGGTTAAATTAACTAAACTTCCCATATAAACAAAGCAAATAATGAAAAATTCATCCAACCAGTTTCATTCATCACAGTAAAGACAACTGAACATTAAATGTGCACTGTTTTTTTTTTCTTTCTACTTTTCCTAAGTATTCAAACCACTTTAAGGGTAGGTGTGCCGCAAAAAACTGTTTGCCTAACAAGGGTGCTGCAGCCACACACACACACACACAAAGTTTGAGAACTGCTGGACTAGGGGATTTGGCCGAAGATCCAACACGGAGCACTTATGGGGAAGTCCCGAGCGCTGTGATGTTGATTGTTAAATTAAACATTAAACATTAATACCTTCAAACCGCTGCTCTCTGCTTCCTGTGACAGACTCACCATATATAAAAAAGGATGACCGATGATTGCCTGATATGAGATGTACGGAACAAATCAATCAAACTGTGCTGTCTGGGCTGTAAACTATCCACGCCTTTATCGCATGACTGCTTCAGTTTCTCCCATCTGTCAGCAGGGAATGGGATCTAGTGGGGAGAAAACATACAGCTAGATGCAAAGTCTTCCACTGATGAAAGACTGCATTTATTGTGTCTAGTTAGCACTTCTGATGGCAGCCTTATGCGTTTAATGCATGTGTATGCTGCCAGATATGCTGAGACTGCAGTTTGTGACAATTTTTTCACAAGCAACAGTGAGGGATACTGTGTGTGGTTTTCATTGGCACAGGAATGGAGCAACTATGGTATGACCTGTTTGATATGAAGCTGAAACTCCGATTACCTTAATACAAAGTCTTCTTTTTTTTTTGTACAGTTTCTTCTTCTTTTGTATTCATCTTTGAAACAGTGGTCGGCACAGTGTGTTGTGGTTTACAGTTAGGCTGTGATGTCTGCACCAGCATGTCATAAAAGGTGACTAATTAGAGGTTCGATGAAATCAGGCGTGTTAAGTAAAGGACCCTTTGCCAAACCTTTAGGGGTACTGGGCACATAGGGCTAGACCTATATTTTATAAAGCAATCAACACTTGGTGGGTGATGTGGTCAGCATCATGCCGGCGGCCTTTACTTCCCAGGACCCGCTCAAGGCTGGGTCGACTTAGTTTGAGATTTCCATGAGCCACTTCCAGACAGTCGTTGTTAGTTACTTTTTCCGCCCACTCCGTCTCAGATACCCCATTGTCATAGCCTCCAAGTTTTTCTTAATTTGTTCACTGACACCCATACAGCAGCACTGGTTCAACACAGCATTTAGGCACTTTTTTTCTTAAATTTAACTAGATTAAATTGCCCGGGATACTACATGGGAACAGCAGGCTACAAGGCAAGAGGCAGACCAAGAAAGAGATGGGTGGACTGAGTAAAGCAGACACTTGAGAAATGCAATATGACATTAACACAACTAGCAAATACTGTGATGCAGCATGATGTAAGCAGTAGGACCAAAGACAAGACACTGCACTAACTCCTCTCTGTGACACAGTATGACGTTAGCAGTAGGACCAAAGACAGGACCCTGCACCAACTTCTCTCTGTGACGCAGTATGACGCAAGCGGTAGGACAAAAGACAGGACACTGCACTAACTCCTCTCTGTGACACAGTATGACGTTAGCAGTAGGACCAAAGTCAAGACCCTGCACTAACTTCTCTCTGTGACGCAGTATGACGCAAGCGGTAGGACAAAAGACAGGACACTGCACTAACTCCTCTCTGTGACGCAGTATGACGCAAGCGGTAGGACAAAAGAAGAATCAGTGAGTCGAAGCCATCTAGGAAAATATGTGCTGAATTATATACCATACACCTCTATGTATATACTTTATTGCCTGCATAGGAACCCTGCTGTGCTGCACTGGCCAAGCATGACGCTCCACTTCAAACAGACACTGATCACAATACAAACTTGAAGCTTGCTTGTAGACACTTTTATGTGCCTCTAATAGTCCATACATATCTGACGTCGGCCAACCAGAACTTGTTTACAGAAAGCAGCTGCTCACTTGAAGTTGCTGATAGCTGTGGATTTGTGTGTCTGTGTGTGAATATGTTTCTGTGTGGGTGTGTTTATGTGTGTGTGTCTGTGTGTATCTGTGTGCGTTTGTGCATGTGTACCTGCATGTGTGTGTGTGTGTCTTTGTGTGTTTATGTGTGTGTGTCTGCATCTGTGTGTGTTTGTGCATGTGTGTCTCTGTGTATGTGTCTGCATGTGCATGTCTCTGCATGTGTGTGTCTGTGTATGTATGTGTATGTATGTGTGTTTTTCTGTATGTTTGTGTGCATGTGTCTGCGTTTTTCTGTGGGTGTGTCTGTGTGTGTGAATATGTTTCTGTGTGCGAGTGTCTATGTGTGTGTGTGTCTGTGTGTGTCTGTGTGTGTTTGTGCATGTGTGTCTATGTGTATGTGTCTGCATGTACATGTCTCTGATATGTGTGTCTGTATGTGTATGTGTGTATGTATGTGTGTATCTGTGTGTGTCTGTGTGCATGTGTCTGCGTTTTTCAGTGGGTGTGTCTGTGTGTACATGTTTGTTTATGTATGTATGTGTGTGGAATGTGTGTGTATATGTATGTAAGTATGTGGGTGTGTGTGTATGTGTGTGTGTGTATGCATGTACTTATGTGAGTGTGTATCTGGGTGTATGTGGGTGTTTATATTTGTGTGTTAACGTGAGTGGGTGGGCGCGTGTATGTGTGTGCGCTAGTGTCTGCATGCATTTTACCTTCCATGCTTTTGTGTTTTTTCCTGATATTCACTATAAGCATACAATCTTATTAATATAACACGCTTTATTGATAAAATACAACTGTTGTGTGAAAAACGGGTGTTTGGAGGAGCCGAATGTAAGACAGGCCTACGTGCCCAATTTATGATCCTCTGAAAATAAAGTTTGTTTGTTCATTCATTCATTTGATACACCCTTGTTCTTTTACTTCATGTTTGCTGGATGTAAACTCTGGTGGAAAATTCTGGTTGTTTGTCAACTTCATCTCTCAGTCAGATGGACTCCGGCTTTGACAAAAGCATCCTAGTTTGTTGATTTTCACAAAACGCTGGGGGAGGGGGGGGGGGGGGGGGGCAGTGTATGTATTATGTTTTCCTTCTTCTTCTGCGCATCCCAGGCTGTAAGCCTTGGTGGAAAGTTTGGTTGTTCGCCCCCCTCTGGACTTTACTCCTGTTACCAGAACCCGAGTGTTGCATGCACATCCGTTTAACAGATCTGACTTATTCGTATGCAGATTGTTGGTTTCTTGCTGCTTGGGCAGACGCACTCCAACTTCAAAGGAAGCTCCCAATCTGTCAACTCCTACAACATGCATGCTGAGAATGCAGTAAGTCTATTCTTCTTCTTCTTCTTCTTCTTCGCATTTACTGGCTTAAACTCCAGCGGAAAGTTCTGGTTGTTTGTCCACTTCTGGGCTTTAGTCTTGTTCCAGAACCTGAGTGACGCCCTACGTGCCAGTCCTGACCTACAGGTGTCAGTCATGGGCAATGGCAACAGCTCACAGAAGCCAGCTTCAGGCCTCAAATGAGATAAATGAGAAAGGTGGTCCAAGTGACAAGAAGAGACAAAGTAAGCAGCCAGACATTATGTCAAGATCTTGAAACCCAGGCATTAGAAACCCAAGTGGATCAGTCACAGTTACGATGGTTTGGTCACGTATGCAGAATGGGAGATAATCGGCCACCACAGCAGGCATGGGAGGTCAAGAACCAGAGAACCAAACCACCAGGTCGACCCAGGGTTATCTGGGAAGACAACATCTAACAGTCCCTGACTGAGAGAGGACTGGATCGGAACAAAACCAAAACTGCAGATAGAGAAGTCTGGCAAACCTCAACCCCCCAAGGTAGAAGAGGATAGACTAAGTGGTAACATTCACCAAATTAAAAAAAATATATGAGTGCCAGCTATGTAACTACCCCTACGAAACTGTTGAACACCATCTCTTTGAGTGCCCAAAACTCAGTGAGACAAGAAGAACGCTACTCCCTCCGAGACCAGACAAGTGGAACACCTTGTACGGACAAAAAGAACAGCTTGTGAAAACATGCAAATTCCACTACATGGCATTGGGCCAAAGGGCGAAAGCTCATGCGCCGCTGGATCGATAACAACAACAACAACAACAACAACAACAAATACTGTACACACTCAATATAAAGACTCTACAACTAACCTTGTTAACTTTACAAATTCTGTGAATGACTTCCTCAGCCTTGTTCAGTTTCCCCTTAATGATGAGCCACCGAAGAGATTCTGGAACAACCCTGCAGATACAGAAATATTTAAAAAACATTTTGATGATAGAACATGTCAAGTAGAAGAGGTTTACTTAGGCCAGAAAAAGCCACAATAATGATACCGTTCTTCTTCTTCTTCTTCTTCTTCTTCGCTTACACTGCCTGTAAACTCCAACAGAAAGTTCTGGCTTTTCATCTACATCTGGACTTAAGTCTCGCTCCGGAACCTGACCGTTACATACACATCTGTTTTACAGATCTGGGTTATTTGTATGAGGGTTGGCTCCTCACCTCTCAAGTAGATGCACTCCAACTTTGAATGCAACATCCCTAATTAGTTGACTCTTACTTCTTCTTCTTCGCGTTCACCAGCTGCAAACTCCAGTGGAAAGTTCTGGTTGTTTATCCACTTCTGGACTCCAGTCCTGTTTCAGAATCTGAGTTTTGTGTGTACATCCGTTTCACAGGTCTGACTCATTTGCATGCAGACTGTTGGTTCCCTGCCTCTCAGGTAGATGTACTCTGACTTTGAAGAAAGCTCCCAATTAGTCGACTCTTATGACATGCTTGCTACAGGGCAGTGGGTCCATCCTCTACTTCCCCCCCCCCCCCCCCCCCCAGCATGAAACACGGAATCCCCCTGAACTCACATGAGCATGATACTGCTCAAACAGAAGAGACTCAGTCACCCAGGACCAACCACAAGACCATGCTGCTTATGGAGACCATCCACACTGACAAGGTTCTATGACCATTCTAAAGAAATAAAATATGTTGGTGACAAAACCCTATTCAAAGAGAAGGTGTTCTGTAACATCAAGGACAGACAAAACATCATTCAAAGAGATGATGTTCTGTAACATCAAGGACAGACAAAACATCATTCAAAGAGAAGATGTTCTGTAACAACAAGGACAGACAAAACATCATTTAAAGAGAAGATGTTCTGTAACATCAAGGACAGACAAAACATCATTCAAAGAGAAGATGTTCTGTAACATCAAGGACAGACAAAACATCATTCAAAGAGAAGATGTTCTGTAACATCGAGGACAGACAAAACATCATTCAAAGAGAAGATGTTCTGTAACATCAAGGACAGACAAAACATCATTCAAAGAGAAGATGTTCTGTAACATGAAGGACAGATAAGACTAAGCTAGCATTCTTCTTTGTGTTCTCACTTCCAGTGGTGTTCACATGAGAAGGCCACAAACTTCTATGAAGTCTGGGGTGTGGTGCATGTCTTCAACTGCTCCATTGGAGTGCCAACCAGCAAACCTGGGATCTCTCTACTGCATGTAGAGAGCATGTCTGTAGCACATGATGATGTTTTTGTTGTGATGCCTGTCCACAAAGGCAACATTCTGAATCCCCAGTCTTCAATTTCTTGTACAAATTGCTGCAGGGTTTGTTATTTACAGTAGTCTAAATATAATGATTTGTTTCTTTCATGTTAGAAGACTGATTGGGTTTTCACTAAACATGTTAGTGAAAACTACATTTTTCTTTCTTTGTGTTCACCGGCTGTAAACTCTGGCAGAAATGTTTGGGTGTTCATCCACCTCCGGACTCCTGACATTGTTCTAGAACTTGAGTGTTGTTCGCACATGCGTTTTACAGATATGGCTTACTTGTATACAGAGTTTTGTCTTGCCTCTCCGGCAGATCCACTCCGACTTTGAAGGATGCCTACAATTAGTTGACTCCTATGACATGCTTGTTGGGGAGGCGGTAAGTCTATTCTTGTTTTCCCTACAATGGGGCCCTGGAACCCACACAGGGAAAAACAACATTAACACCAGTGATGTAACATCTTAGAGAGGTAACATCATGCTGGCAATGTCCATGTGATTCCCTGTATTCAAAAGGAAGCAGCAATCAGTTGTTCTGGCTGCATTCTTCCTAAATGACCAAAACCATTTCATCTTATGTGCCTCAATGAATTTACTGCAGGGCGTTGTTATACAGTCTGTCTGATAATATCATTTCTAACTTTGTCTTAGGTGGTTAAGTTGGCGGCTTTTCTCAGGCATCTCATTTTGCAGGTATTAATCCCCAAGCCCCCCGTGTGGGTTCTGGGGCCCCATTGTGGGAAAAACAAGAATAGACCCACTGCCTCCCCAAAAGCATGTCGTAAGAGTCGACTAATTGGGGAGTTTCCTTTGAAGTCGGAGTGCATCTGCCGGAGAGGCAAGGAACCAACAGTCTGTATTCAAGAGAATGAGATCTGTAAAACTGATGCACACGCAACACTGAGGTTCTGGAGCAGGACTGCAGTTCAGTTTTGGACGAGCAACCAGAACTTTCCGCCAGAGTGTACAGCTGGTGAACGCGAAGAAGAAGAAGAAGAAGAATCCCCAAGCATGTAGTGGCTAAACACACCAGCTCTATGTTGGTTTGTACTTCTTCTCTGGCATTCTGCAAGGTGCTTATGTCTGGCCTCACCCCTTTGTGATTTGATACTCTTCTAGTTTGATGATGGTTACAAATTCACAGTCATCACCTGATCCTCACAGATGGCTTCATTCTCATAGACCAGAGATATTTAGCCACGTTTACACAGAGGCCAAAATGTTACAAATGGGGATCATCACCAGCCCAGGCAGTGGACCCTAGCACCGAAAGATCATTACTGCAATACACTTGGCAATGATTCGCGAGCCACTTACTGGGCCTCCGACTGGGTATGCGGGCCACTAGTTGAAAAGTCCTGTCATAAAGAATTCAGTATATCAGCCTTGCCAATGGCTCGTTTGCCATTCATATCAGCTTCATGTCCCAGCATGTCAGCTTGCTCACTTCCTTTCACACAAAAGCAGCATTATTCTTCTTCTTCTTCACTTTCACCGCCTGTAAACGCTGGTGGAAGAGTTCTGGTTGTTTTTCCACTGCTTGACTTTGGTCTTGTTTCAGATCTTTAAGTATTGCATGCACATCTGTTTTACAGATCTGACTCATTTGTAAGCAGACTGTTGCTTCCTCACCTCTGAGGCAGATGAACAGCTTCCAAGGAAAACCTCCTAATTAGTCGTTTCTATGACAAACTCACTAGGGAAGCAGTGAATCTATCCCCCACCCCAAAAAAAAACTGGGTCCCATAACCTACGTGGGAAGTAGTGTGTTCAGTATATCAGCCTGGTCCATGGCTTGTCCCCCCTACATAACAGCCTTTTGTGCAAGCCTGTCAGCTCGCTCATTTCCTTTCATGTACAAGCAGCAATTGAAAATGAAGATACCTGTATTGGTTCCAGAGCTCCATTTGGGGGGGGGGGAAACAAAAACAGATCCAAAGCCTACCCAACAAGCATGTCGTAGGAGTGGACTAATTAGGAGCTTCCTTCAAAGTAGGAGTGTATCTGCCCGAGCAGTAAGGAACAATCAACTGTACACAAATATGCCAGTAAACTGGATGTGCACGTAAAACTCATGCCCTGGCATGAAGCCAAAGTTCACATGGATGAACAATCAGGATGTTCCGCTAGAGTTTACAGCCAGTGAACAAAGAAGAAGAAGAAAATGAAGACAGAACACATCCTGCTGCAACATGTGGGACTCACAAAGGATAAAACAAGGTGAACACAGAAGAAGAAGAAAATGAAGAGAGAACACGTCCTGCTGCAACAACTGGCACTCACCAAGGGTAAAACAAAGTTAGGAGTCCTGGAAGAGTCACCACAATCTGTAAGTAGCGCCAGTCTCGTACCAGATAAGCCGCCCCAGCCAGAATCATGATGGCTACTCCAAAGAAACATTCCGTGACCGCTCCAGCAAAGGGCCGGTACTTGGCAATGTACAGCTCCATGATCAGAGTGTAGGCAGATGTCTGCAGGCCCTGTTTGGAAAAACAAGACACAGCAGTTGATACAAAGTCCTTTTTTTAAATAACTAATCTACCTTCCTCGTGTTTTATCATCATCATCATCATGAAAAACCACTTTTGCAGTTAAGCATCGTGGGGAGGAATAATTTGCAATCCAGTACACGCTGGCTGCCACGGGCTATTGTCATGCCGTGAAGGCGAAGAGTGTCTTTAGTGTTGTCAATCCATATTTTTCACAGCCGTCCTCTTGCACTTGCAGCCGATCTTCTCAGATGTATGATGGTATTTGATGTTGCTGCATTCTAATGAGATGACCAAACCACTTGATCTGCTGTTTCTTGATGAATCTAGTACAATTTGTTTGACTGAATTAAAAGGGCGGTCGGCACACTGGTTTACAGCTAAGCTAGAATGTGATATTTGCACCTTTCGGCCCAACAACATCCAGTTTTGACAAAACACTAATTATTCACCTCTTACTACATGCTTGTCAGAGGGGCAGGGGCAACCCCTTCCCCAATATGGGCCCCAAAACCCAAAGGGAGTGTAACTACAACAACAACAAACAATTCTTACAAGCTGGTCAATTAGATACATTCTTGTTCCTCGTCTGTGTTTGCCCTTCATTTGGCAGCTGGTACCTTATCTTGGGGTTTATAGTTAGGCTCTGCCCCTTGACCCAACACATTTGATTTTAACAAACCAAGTCGTCCTATCCTTTGCTATTACAGGCAGCTAACCCATATTGTTCCCATCTATATAACTTCACTCTCTATTCCACTCTCCATGACTTTTTTTTTTGGGGGGGGGGGGGGGGGGGGGGGTTTAACCTTCAAACTCTAAATTTGTTGCTTCAAACTTTAAATTTGTTGCTTTTACCTTCTGGTAAAATGTCACTTTTCTGACTTGTTCTATAGTGGCCTCTTTAGGAGGCACACAGTTAATGCTATTGGCTGAGTTTGCACCTGCGCAAACATTTAGGAGGTCAAGATATGAATACATTAACTAACAATAACATTCAGGAGGGGTTTTCCCCTCTGAGCTTTCCAAAAGCTAAGTTGAGGTCAGATCTTTTCATAGCCTCAGTGCTAGAGTTTAAAAGGTCACGGCATGAGTCACCGGATACGTGTGCAGTTTTTAGACCCTGGGGATGTATCCGATTCAATGCTTCAACCTGTTCATTTTTATTGATTACTCCTTCCATTTGTCTTTACACATTTTCCTAATCTAACCTTAAAATGTAGATGAAAACATTTTAAATGAATGCAATAATGATCTGCGTCAAAACTGTCATTTGTACAGATTTTTTTTTCCAGAAATTCTAATGGGGTCATGGAAAAATATTTGTTGTAGTGTTCCTGGGGCATAAGAGTTATAAGGGTTAGTGGGCATCGAGACCCATAGGAGATTCCAAATATATTACCTGCATTTGTATTCCCGTGACGAAGCGCAGAGTTACAAACATGGTGTAGATGACGGAGAATGCCACCACACATGTCTATGTAGAATTATCAAAATTTTCTGGCCAGATACAATCTCAAACACTAAACTACTTCAAGCCACAAACCAAGAAACTCTAGACAGTATGATAACCAAGAGAAGATGGAAATGGCTTGGCCATGTTATGAGAATGAATCCTGATATACCTGCCAAAACAGCTCTCACATGGATACCAGAGGGAAAGAGAAAACAACATGGAGACGAACAATGGAAAGTGACCTGAGTGCGGAATCTTTGACATGGAAAACTGCACTGAAGATTGCACAGGATAGGAAAGCATGGACAGTCCTCTCTGAAGCCTCATGTGCCACTAGGCATAACGAGAACTGATGAATAATGATCTGCATCAAAATTGTCATTTGTACATTGGGGGGGGGGGGGGGGGGGGGATTCTTACGGGGTCATTGGAAAAATATTTTTGGTAGTGTTCCTGGGGCATAAAAGTTATAAGGGTTATTGGGCTTCGAGACCCGTAGGAGATTCCAAAAATATTACCTGCATTAGTATTCCGGTGACGAAGCGCAGAGTCACAAACATGGTGTAGGTGACGGAGAATGCCGTTACGATGCCGAGGATGACAGAACTGTAGAGTGTAAACAGCATGATGGGCAGGCGGCCGAAGCGGTCGGCCAGGTCACCAAACAACAACCCTCCCACCATCACTCCAACAAAGTAGATAGTATTTGCCAGGCTGGCCAGATATTTTCTCTCACACACCAAATCAAACTGAAAGATTTTGACAGAATTGAGCTGATTATCTGCCAAAGGCCAAAAAATAAAAAAGACTAGCTGTTTGTATCTTTTGTTTCTTCTTATTCTCAAAAAATGAAATTCCTCATCTGCATTCACTGTTAAAACAGCATTTGGAATATGGTGTTGTGGTTTACAGCTGGGCTGTGATGTCTGCAAACACATACTATTTGTGTGTGTGCGTTCACTGGTTGTAAACTCTAGGGGAAGTCCTAGTTTTTCATCCATTTCTGAACTTTAGCTGTGTTACAAGATCTGAGTTTTGCTTACAAATACATTTTACAGCGCTGGCTTATCTGTATGCAGACTGTGGGTCCCTGCCTCTCAAACAGATGCACTCCGACTTTGATGAAAAAACACCCCTAATTATTCTCCTTTCATTTGCTTGGAATAAATTATCTATATCTGCAATGCTGTCTCTAGTATGAACTTCACAGTCTTTTGTAATTCACTCATACATCTGAGAAGATCGGCTGCAAGTGCAAGAGGACGGCTGCGAAAAATATGGATTGACAACACTAAAGACACTCTTCCCCTTCACGGCATGACAATAGCCCGTGGCAGCCAGCGTGTACTGGATTGCAAATTATTCCTCCCCACGATGCTTAACTGCAAAAGTGGTTTTTAATGATGTCCGTAAAGTTTGGCTCCACCAGTGTCTCTCTTGGCCACAAGTTTTGAATTTTTGCCTAATTAGTCACTTTCACTACATGCTTGTCAGGGGGGTAGTGTGTCTTTTTTTTTTATGACCCAAAATGGGGGCCTAGAACCCACAGGTAACACTTATGAATTCAGCAAAAAATGGTGATGACAAGTGAACATTTAACTAACATTATTATCCTCTTGATATATTATGAATAACTGGCACCTAGTTAACATTAGTATATGAGTATAAAAATTAACATACATCAACATTATCAATATAATTGCTTGCTGGTGTCTACCTTTGCTATCATAGTGGCCTTACAGCCTACTCTTTACAATTTTTCCCCTGGGATTTCATACATGCTCCACTCTGGTGCATGTCAAAAGTGGGGTGGCCATTTTTAAATTGTCATAATGAAATCATCATGTTCATCTGCAAAGTGATGTCATATGTTTAACACTCTTGACATTATTAACAACAATACTGACACAATGGCATGGCTATTGTGATGCCTATCACATTTTAACTGGTTCTCACTTAAAGCTTCCTCGTACTGGGGTAAGGCACCTTCTGTAACTGTTTCCTGTCCTTATCTGAGAAAACTATGTACCCACTCTTACTGCCCAAGATATCAGCTGGAGGAACTACATATTCTTGTTCAGTGTTTGCATTTAAAAGGGTGGCTGATACATGGTGTTGTGGTTTACAGCTAGGCTGCAATGCACCTTTCAGCCTAACACATCTGATTTCTGAAAATAACTAATTAGTTGCCTTTTTACAACCTGCCTGTTAGGAAGCAGTGCATCTTTCTGCCAAACACATCTGATTTCAGAAAGCCCATAATAAGTGCCCTTTTTTGACATGCTTGTGGTTTGGAGGGGGGGGGGGGCAGTGGATCAATATCTTGAAATCAGACCCAGGAACACATACAGGCAGGAACTATTATATGAGTAAAAAATCTTCTCCTTCTTCTTTTTCACAATCACCGGCTATAAACTCTGGTGGCAAGTTCAGGTTGTTCGCCTAGTTCTGGTTATTGGTCTTGTTCCAGAACTTGAGGCTGAGAACTTGAGACAGCACAATTAGTCGCCTTTTACAACACTGTAACTCTTCTGACATGCCTCTTAGGGGGCAGGGAGTCCATTCCTTTTTCCCCCTACAAGACGATAAAAACCAATGAATCATCTTTAACTATTGAGTTGTATGCTGCAAGTGAGCCAGGTGAAGGTTGAGACAGAGGCTGACACAAAATTCTCTCCACCACCCCAAATACACCAGTACATACCTGTGAGACGATGTTTGTCTCTCCGTATACAGGGTAATACGTCCACTGACCGTATGAACATTGAACGGTCTCATTCTGTCCATCAGAGTATGTGTGAGTGGCAGAACACCGGGAAAATGAGACATTGTTGAGCTGTTTGTGTCCAGGATTTTGGGTCGTCGTTGAGTTGTCTAAGGAGGATGAAATAAACTGCCATTACTGCCAGTTCTTAACCATTTTGCGGTGTCGGCTGAGAGGTCTTTCAGTCTGAGGATTCTGTGCCACAAAGTTATTGCAGTCGGTACATACCATGAACATGCCGGCATCTTTCCAGGCGCGAGATTTCGGGTCGGCTCCCATTCATGCAGTGGCCGTTTCCACGAGCTGTACTATGTTCTAGGGGTGTCACATGTTATATTCTACTCTGTAAGCAGTCTGTATTCCATGCTGTCAGCTACCAGACAAGAAAACTAGCTAAAAACTTGGCCACGCACATAAACACACAAAAACCATCGCTCAGTGTCATCTGCCAGGAAAGAGAGATGCACACTTTTGTTGAATTAGGCCTTGAAGGAACAGCAGCTGGTTTTCCGCACGATGTGTGTATAGACGGTGAGGGGGAAGGAACACACATGCTAACACTCCTAGAATATAGAACAGGTCGTGGGAACGGCGATGGCATGAATGGGAGCCGACACAAAATCTTGCGCCTGACGAGATGTGGGCATGTTCATGATATGTACCTTGCAGTCACCATGCTAGCGTTTCATGTTGGCCCCCGAAAGAATATTACTTAGGAATTAAACCTGCATCTTCCCTGTGTGGGTTCCACGGACTTATGGTGGTGGGGGGGGTGAGGATATACCCATTGCCCCCCCCCCCCCCCCCCCCACAGTCATCTGGTACAAGTAAACTTTTTTTTTTTGGGTGCTTACCGACTGTAAACTCCAGCAAAAGTTCTGGTTGTCTGTCCATCAGAATCTGAGTGCTGCATGCACGAACATCTTACAGATTAGATTTATTTGTATGCAGACTGATGGTTCCTTGCCTTTCAGGTAGATACATTCTGACTTCAAGGATGCTCCCAATTAGTCGACTCTAATGACATGCTTGTTGGGGTGGCCGTGGGCCTATTCTTGTTTTCCCCACAACAGGCCCCTCGGAACTCGAACGGGGAGTAAAAGTGGAGTAATTAGGGGTGTTTCCTTTTAATATGAGGCATCTGCCTGATAGTTGAGGAACGAACAGTCTGCAAACAAATAAGCCATATCTGTAAAATGGATTTGTAAAAACTTTAACAACAGGGAAAAGAATGTGAACCACAAAAATAACCAAGTTTCAAATTTTCATCTCTCCCCCTCCTTGGCATTCACTGGCTATAAACTCCAAAGCAAAGTTCTGGTTGTTCATCCACTTCTGGACTTTGGTCTTGTTCCAGAACTGAGTTTTGTGTGCACATCCATTTTACAGATCTAATTTATTTGTATGCAGACTGTTGATTCCTCACCTCTCTGGCAGAGGCACTCCGACTTTGAAGAAAACACCCCTCATTAGCTGACTTTTACAACAGGTATGTTAGGGAGGCAGTAGGCAGTAGGTCAATCCCCACCTCCCACCCCCATAGCGGCCTGGGGACAATGATGGAAGGTTAGAAAGAAAAGAAGAGGAATGGAAAAATGCGGGTGGGGGGGGGAGGTTTAAGCCTGAGTATTTGGGACAACATGGCTAGTGCTGTCACCACAAACTCTGCAGTTAAGGATTCTGTTTTTGTCCCCTGCAGAAAAATAATCGCCAACTTTACAGAGAATTCGAACCTGGGTTTTCCACATGAGAATCCTGCATTTTTTATTGTATGGCCAGCTGCTCTTCTGACGTAAAAAAGTGTTCTTTCGGTCACTTACATTTACATATAAATTTGAGTATTCTTTAATGTTGCCCCACCATGTGCAGATAACCCCATTATTACAACAAACGATACTTACCTTGGTATACACTTGTGTCCAGGGTGCACTTGTGTGGTACTGAGGTTCCGTGAAATGCCATAATGACATGGTTGAAAACGAGAATGATGTACGTGTAGGCTGCCAGCATATGTATGGTAATCTGGTATCGGCTCTTGCCTCCGAGGGCAGCCACCAAAGCTTCCAACGCCTTGAGAGGTTGGCTTCATGGTCGCAACTATAGAAATGGTCTAACAATTACTGCAGCCACTCATTTATCGTTTGGACGGTGTGTGAAGATCGTTATAATTCACTGCCTGTTGAGTAAAGTTAAAGTCAAAGGTTAAAAGTCAAGAGGACTGACTTCACTGCATGGGTTTTAATCACATACAATTTGGTCTCTTTTCACTGATCAGCTATCCCCCTGTGAGAAGGTTGCACAAAGCACAAACACCATAGCTCCAGAGATGATCCCCTGGGATCTCCGTAAAAATTGCATTATTGAACCAAACGCCGCAGCAATGATTTAAACTCACTGTTTTTCAAGTTGGTTGTAAATGTTTATTATTTCCCAAACCATTTTGTTAAGACATATTCAGTTACTTATAAATTCACAAACTGCAACACTTTATGCATTCATATCCTGCAGTCTAAAGCTATTTTCTGAGTGACTTATGATTTAACTATCTGTTGTGTGAAGCTGCCCTGGGTGAACAAAGATTTTACAATCTGCTGTTTCAAGTGACTTATGATTTAACTACCTGTTGTGTGGAGCTGCCCTAAGCAAACCAAGATTTTACAACCTGCTGTTTCAAGTGACTTATGATTTAACTACCTGTTGTGTGGAGCTGCCCCAAGCAAACCAAGATTTTACAATCTGCTGTTTCAAGTGACTTATGATTTAACTATCTGTTGTGTGGAGCTGCCCTAAGCAAACCAAGATTTTACAATCTGCTGTTTCAAGTGACTTATGATTTAACTATCAGTTGTGTGGAGCTGCCCTAAGCAAACCAAGATTTTACAACCTGCTGTTTCAAGTGACTTATGATTGAACTATCTGTTGTGTGAAGCTGCCCTGAGTGAACCAAGATTTTACAATCTGCTGTTTCAAGTGACCTATGATTTAACTATCTGTTGTGTGAAGCTGCCCTGGGTGAACAAAGATTTTACAATCTGCTGTTTCAAGTGACCTATGATTTAACTATCTGTTGTGTGAAGCTGCCCTGGGTGAACAAAGATTTTACAATCTGCTGTTTCAAGTGACTTATGATTTAACTATCTGTTGTGTGGAGCTGCCCCAAGCAAACCAAGATTTTACAACCTGCTGTTTCAAGTGACTTATGATTTAACTATCTGTTGTGTGAATCTGCCCTGAGTGAACCAAGATTTTACAATCTGCTGTTTCAAGTGACTTATGATTTAACTATCTGTTGTGTGAATCTGCCCTGAGTGAACCAAGATTTTACAATCTGCTGTTTCAAGTGACTTATGATTTAACTATCTGTTGGGTGGAGCTGCCCTGAGTGAACCAAGATTTTACAATCTGCTGTTTCAAGTGACTTATGATTTAACTATCTGTTGGGTGGAGCTGCCCTGAGTGAACCAAGATTTTACAACCTGCTGTTTCAAGTGACTTATGATTTAACTATCTGTTGTGTGAATCTGCCCTGAGTGAACCAAGATTTTACAATCTGCTGTTTCAAGTGACTTATGATTTAACTATCTGTTGTGTGAAGCTGCCCTGGGTGAACAAAGATTTTACAATCTGCTGTTTCAAGTGACTTATGATTTAACTACCTGTTGTGTGGAGCTGCCCTAAGCAAACCAAGATTTTACAACCTGCTGTTTCAAGTGACTTATGATTTAACTACCTGTTGTGTGGAGCTGCCCCAAGCAAACCAAGATTTTACAATCTGCTGTTTCAAGTGACTTATGATTTAACTATCTGTTGTGTGGAGCTGCCCTAAGCAAACCAAGATTTTACAATCTGCTGTTTCAAGTGACTTATGATTTAACTATCAGTTGTGTGGAGCTGCCCTAAGCAAACCAAGATTTTACAACCTGCTGTTTCAAGTGACTTATGATTGAACTATCTGTTGTGTGAAGCTGCCCTGAGTGAACCAAGATTTTACAATCTGCTGTTTCAAGTGACCTATGATTTAACTATCTGTTGTGTGAAGCTGCCCTGGGTGAACAAAGATTTTACAATCTGCTGTTTCAAGTGACCTATGATTTAACTATCTGTTGTGTGAAGCTGCCCTGGGTGAACAAAGATTTTACAATCTGCTGTTTCAAGTGACTTATGATTGAACTATCTGTTGTGTGGAGCTGCCCCAAGCAAACCAAGATTTTACAACCTGCTGTTTCAAGTGACTTATGATTTAACTATCTGTTGTGTGAATCTGCCCTGAGTGAACCAAGATTTTACAATCTGCTGTTTCAAGTGACTTATGATTTAACTATCTGTTGGGTAGAGCTGCCCTGAGTGAACCAAGAATTCACAACCTAAAATGTGAAGCTGTTTTAGGGATTTGAACATTCACAACTGGCTGTGTGGAGCTGTCAGAAGCTGTGTGGGTTCCAGAACCCCACTGTCGAAGAAAAACAAAACAAAAGACCAACTGACTCCCTAACAAGCATGTCTTCAAAGTGAGCTAATTAGGGGTGTTTCCTTTGAAACACCTGCACCAACAGCCTACACAAAACTTGTCAGATCTGCACATAAAACTCAAGTTCTGGATCAAGAAAGCCCAGGCGTGGACAGACAACCAGAACTTGGTGCCAAAGTCAGTGAACGACAAGAAGACAAAGAGATTTAGCAACTCAACAGATTGTGAGATTGATATAAAATGTACATGATGTGATGTCACATAAAATGTCTTTTATTTATGTCTCACAGCCCCTGTAAAGACATATAAGAGACATGTGAACCTGTACACAAGGAAGACTATCACATTATGTGTCAATCACGTATTATCTCCCCCTACACCAGACAATGAATGTCTTGACTTATCTATCAATTATTGATTCAGCTAAAGTGGTTGAGGAAAAAAAAATTTAAAACAGCAAAATTGCTTTCCTTTGTGACTGCATGTCAGTCCTCCAGGCGACTCAGAGGGATCCACAAGACAACATGCACACTCAACAGAAAGCAACATACAAGAAATTTCCGTCTATGAACAGGACACTGCAGGCTCAACTACCACATGCATAAAATAAAGATTGTACAGTCCCCACAGTGTGTCTGTCAAATAGGACCACAAAACCTGAGCACAGTCTGTAGACCTGCCCACTCTACATACAACTTCGAAAATACACCTGGCCTCAAGAGCAAAGTGTGCAGAACAAGCTATGGGTAACCATGAAAGACCTGCTACTGATATGCGAGTTCATAGAATCAACCCACCTGATGGTCTGATCTGAGCATACAAAACCAAACGCAAAGAAGAAGAAGTTTACATCAAAGGAAAGGTAACACCAATATATTTGGAACAAAGCCTGTTGCAGAAGCTGCTGGAAAAGAACGGCAATGTTCTGTCTGTCCTCCTGTCACAGCCTGCCTCCTAGACCAGCTGTCAACCAAGGTTAGGAGCCTGGTCTGCCCTGCCATAACAAAAAGTTGTCAGGTTGCATGTCCTCTTCCTAGGATACATGATAAAGCAGTGCTGTGAATATTACTATTGTTTTGTGTCATCTTCTTCTTCTTCTTCTTCTCTTCCACCTTGTACCTCATCGAAGTGTTGGGGGGGGGGGGGGGGGGGGGGGTTGTAATGTTTTGTGTCATCAACAGTGTGTTATGTGGTTATACTTCCCACACAGCTCATTCTGGTCCTCCATTCTGCTCTACCCTGTGCAATCATCTCATTATCATGTATGAGATCCAGTCAAGCATCTCTAGCCTCTCTCTGTTTGTGTATGTGTGTAGGGGTATGTGTGTGAGAGTGTGCACAGGTGTGTGTGTTATTGTGCACTCACGCATGTGTGTGTGTGTGTGTGCGCGCGCGAGCACGTGCCTGTATTTACCATCTATGCTTTTGTGTTTTTTACTTGATATTCATATTATGTATGAGGGGAAGTCAATAAGTAAGTCACATCTGGTTGTTTGAAAAAAGAGATGTCATTTTATTTTTTAAACACAATTTCCACCAACATTGATGCACTTATCAGTCCTCCCAAACCTGCTGCACAGAACCGCATGCTCCATTTTCTAAACCACATTTTCACTTCATATTCACCTTCTGCGTTATTTGCAAAATGTCTCCCGCCAAGGTGGGTTTTCAGAGGACCAAAATGGTGGAAATCGCTAGGGGCTAAGTCGGGTCAGTAAAGTGGATGTTACAGAAGTTCCCACCCTAGATAGTTAATTGTCTCCTGAGTTAACCGAGCTGTTTGTGGTCTGGCATTGTCATAAAGGAGCAGTACTCCTCTAGTCCGCAGGTCTGGACGTTTTCTTTGAATTGCATCAGGAAGCATTGTTAGAACTTTTCAGAAAGATTTCAGAATTCATATTGTCACTTTTTTTTTTTTTTTTAATTGGTTAAACACTCCATGAAATCCCCAGAACACTGTCAGCATAACCTCCCCTTACTGATGGCATACCCTGGAAATTGTTAACACAAGGCAAAGAAGGATGTTTCCATTGAACTGAAGCACGCTTTGATTTTGTCTGGTAGTGATGCACCCATGATTCGCCCCCCTGTTTAGCGTGTCTTTCCTTCATCTGGGTATCAACATAGATGCAGCAAGGACAAACTTAATTGGTTCATTTTATGTTTTTCCATCAATTGTCTGGGTACCCATCTTGAGCAAACTTTCTTAAATTTAAATTGATCATGCATTATGTTGTATGCTGAGCACCCTACTGCAGCTGCAAAAGAGTCAACCGTTACTCGCCTTTTACCTCTAATTATCTCTTCCACTCGCTGCACGAATGAGTCTGTTGCAATCTCAACAGGATGACCAGATCAGACTACATCAACAATCGTACAGCGCCCTTGAGAAAACAATTTTACCCAGCTATGCACCGCTCAGTGGGATAAACATTTGTCAGCATAAACAAGAAGCATTTGCTTATGAATGTCCTTTATAAGCAGCTTTTTTTGCCTCAAAAAAAAAAGCACAACAGCATGTTGTTCTCTTCTTCTTCTTCAGCGATCTCTGGTCATGCGCATAATCCACTGTGGGTCATAAACTGGGATGTCTTTTCAAGGTCTCTTAGGTTTCCCCAAAGCTTAGTTGTCAGTTCAACTGGGTGTTGCCATATGTCGCTCCACAGCTCCGCCAGGAGAGGACAGTCTTGCAGGACATGTTCTGGAGTCTGTTCAGCACGAAGGCACCGGCAGAGAGCTGTTTGGCTCATACCTAATTTATGTGAGTGTTTATTGAGTCTGCAGTGTCCAGTGCGTAAGCGAAAAGCTGTGACTTGGTCTGTTCTGTTCAAGTGTTTCAGAAAATCTTTTTCGTAGTTATAACCAGTGTTGGTTTTCCAATCTGTTTCTGATTTTCTCTTAATGAGAGTTTTGACTTCTGGAAAAGATAGTGGCTGGTAGGTCTGTGGTTTGTTACTGCCTTCCTTGACTAAAGCATTTGCGCTTTCATTGCCTTTGATGCCACAGTGTGACGGAATCCACTGCAAGTGAATTTCTGCCTTATTTGACAACATAGCAAGTTCATGCGTTAGACTTTGTAGTGTGCTGTCGGTAGGTTTGGACTCAAGATGTTGTTCTCTGAGGGTACACTCTATATGTGCAGCCGCCATTTTGTTTCTGTGTTGCGAATGCAAATGCAACACCTAGCGCTACCTAACGAACAGAGAAGTAAAGTTCGATGTTGCTGTTACCTAATGACACCTTTAGAAACCACTAACTACTTTTTACTTTCATATCATGACAATTTGTGACTTACTTATTAACTTCTTCTTCTTCTTCAGTAACATACTGGTTACCTGCACAAAAATTTGTGAACAATTCTCCATTTTCATTCATTACTCCTAGACCATGTCTCCCCGTAATTTCTTCATAACCTGTGTTGTCTGATCCTATCTTAGCATTCAAGTCACCCATCAAAATTTTTAAGTTGCCCTTTCTTTCATTATTTATAATATTTTATAGCTGCATGTAAAATTCTTCCTTAACAGATGCATCTTTATCATTTGTTGGTGCATAACACTGTATTACCGACATGTTCACCTTCTGTTTTACTGTTCTAAAAGATGCTCTTATTATTCTGGGACTCACAGCTTCCCATTCTATTAGTGCCCTGTCTGCTTCTTTTGATAGCATCAGGGCCACTCCTTCACTGTGCGGCGAATTGTCCTCTGTGTGTCCTGAGAACAAAATAGTTTCTCCTGAATTAAGAATACTTTTCCCTGTCCCAGTCCATCTAGTTTCACATAACCCCAAAATACTAATTCTATAATGTTTTCATTTCCTTTGCTACTTCTCCCTATATCATAGAGAGTTTTAACATTCCAGGTGCCAATTCTGGAGGTTTTCCTAGCTGAGAGGAGGTAAGTCAACGATCCGGACTCCTTACGGCTTTCTCCACACCGTATCATACTTCTTCTATTTGAAGAGCCTCCCCTCATCTTGGTTGGCTGGATTTTATTTGCTTCTCTTTTTGACTTATCCATGGTTGGTTGGTTTTTGTGGCTATGGTTTTTACAGGATGATGTAGCCAACCTCAAGCCCAACCCTACCCTTAGTCGCCTCTTAGGACATGCCTGGTAGGGTGCAGTGTCACTATTCTTAGCTTCCCGTGAGGGCCCCGGTGACACACGGGCGTCTTCTGCCTTTCTATCCCCCAATGGAGCATAGGCCCTCATCCAACTCATGCCAAGTCATTCTATCCTTCACCATTACATGGAGCTCTCCCCATGTCCTCTCCATCTTTCTAACTTCATTCTTCAGCTCTCTTCTCCATGTGTTGTTTTTTTGCCTTCCTTTATTCCTTTGCCCCTGTGGGTTCCAATGCAAAGACATTCTAGTTATGCTGTTCTCCTGTTTTCTCAGTGTCTGTTCTATCCAACGCCAGCGTCTTTTCCTCACCTCTTGGTCCATTGGAGCCTGTTTAGTTCTCTCTATTTGACTTATCCATAGTTGGTTGGTTTTTGTGGCTATTGTTTTTACAGGATGAGGTAGCCAACCTCAAGGCCAACCTTATCCTTAGTCGCCTCTTACGACATGCCTGGTAGGGTGCAGTGTCACTATTCTTTGCTTCCCGTGCGGGCCCTGGTGACAAACGGGCGGAATATTGTTAGATAAAAAAAGCATGATTTACTGAGACAATACAACTGTGGTTTGAAAGATGAGTGTTTTAAGAGACCAAATGTAAGACAGGACTGTGGGCCCAGTTTGTGACCATCTTAAATACAGTTGTTTCATTCTCCCGTGTGGGTTCCGGGGCCCCATTGTGGGAAAAACAAGAATAGACCCACTGCCTACCCAAACGCATGTCGTAAGAGTCGACTAATTGGGGAGCTTCCTCTGAAGTCGGAGTGCATCTGCAGGAGAAGCAAGGAACCAACAGTCTGAATTCAAGAGAATGAGATCTGTAAAACTGATGCACACACAACACTCATGTTCTGGAGCAGGACTGCAGTTCAGTAGTGGATGAGCAACCAGAACTTTCCGCCAGAGTTTACAGCTGGTGAACACGAAGAAGAAGAAGAAGAAGTCCGTTCATTATCTCCAGAATGTTTGTCTCATGGTTTCTCTTAGATCTTCTTCTTCACATTCACTGTCTATAAACTCATGGTGGAAAGTTCTGGTTGTGTGTTCACCGTTGGACTTTAGTCTTAATTATTTCAACTATGTATTGAAGTTACCTTATTAAATGTTTGTTTAAAAATAATACACTACTCCCCCGCGTGGGTTCCGGGGCCCCATTGTGGGGAAAACAAGAATAGACCCACTGCCTCCCAAAAAGCATGTCGTAAGAGTCGACTAATTGGGGAGCTTCCTTTGAAGTCGGAGTGCATCTGCCTGAGAGGCAAGGAACCAACAGTCTGTATTCAAGAGAATGAGATCTGTAAAACTGATGCACACACAACACTCAGGTTCTGGAGCAGGACTGCAGTTCAGTAGTGGACGAGCAACCAGAACTTTCTGCCAGAGTGTACAGCTGGTGAACGCAAAGAAGGAGAAGAATACACTACTATACATTTATTATAATTTGTTTTGATTCAACACATTATTATTATTATTAAGCACATGAAGTAGGTTTAGGTTCACCCCCCATGCCACCAGTAAATATGTAAGGGGATTTCACCCTCATCTCTAAACACCCAATACTTTCTCTGTGACAGTGCCCATTTCTAAAGACCCAATAATTTCTCTGTGACAGCCCCCATCTCCTGACACCCAATAATTTCTCTGTGACAGCCCTCATCTCTTGACACCCAATTATTTCTCTGTGACAGCCCTCATCTCTCGACACCCAATAATTTCTCTGTGACAGCCTCCATCTCCTGACACCCAATAATTTCTCTGTGACAGCCCTCATCTCTCGACACCCAATAATTTCTCTGTGACAGCCCTCATCTCTTGACACCCAATAATTTCTCTGTGACAGCCCCCATCTTTCGACACTCAATACTTTCTCTGTGATAGCCTCCATCTCTGGACACCTAATACTTTCTCTGTGACAGCTCCCATCTCTTGACACCCAATACTTTCTCTATGACAGCCCCTATCTCTTGACACCCAATACTTTCTCTGTGACAGCCCCTATCTCTTGACACCCAATACTTTCTCTGTGACATCCCCTATCTCTTGACACCCAATACTTTCTCTGTGACAGCCCCTATCTCTTGACACCCAATACTTTCTCTGTGACAGCCCCCATCTCCCGACACCCAATACTTTCTCTGTGACAGCACCCATCTCTGGACACCTAATACTTTCTCTGTGACAACCCCCATCTCTTGACACCCAATACTTTCTCTGTGTCAGACCTCTTTGCTTAAAAAGTTACAAATTCACACAACTAGCCAAAACTCCACATTACTGCCTTTATATACCACTTCTGTGGTGAAGGCCGGGGGGTATTTTGAGCCAGAGGATTTAAGGCCGCATGGCTAGTGCTGTCACCATGTAGGTGAGGATTTTATTTTACCCTAGACAGGAAAAATCGCCAGTCTTACTGAGGATTCGAACCTGGGTCGCCCGCATGAGAGCCCAGCATTCTAACCATTCGGCCAGCCGCTCCTCACACAACAAGCAAATTCATGAACAAAACAAAATCCTGTTCAACCCATCTGGAATTATACTTACATATATAGTGTTTTCTATTTCAGTAAAGAATATTTATGTTTATCAATTTTGTCTGGTTATTAAATACTGCATTACTTATGTATTAATTGTACAAGACTGTAGGAGCATAGATTAACTCAATTTAACTAAGCTCTGGCATTTATAAATGCAAAGAGCTGCCCTGCAAATGTATAAACTTAGAATAAACACTTACAGTAAAACATGGGAGACAATGTTGCTGCAGTGAGCACAGAGAAAAATACTGATACAGCATGTGCAAATACACGTAGCACAAAATGAAACAAGAAGTAAATTATTTCTCCCCCTATTTCCTGGAAGTACTGGTTGTTCCTATAAAATGACACAACTGCAGCCGGTAAACCCAGACATGTTATCACTTTCACGTTTTAAGTATAACTAGCTGATTTATAATGTAAACTTGTTCCCATCTTAAATGAGTTTTTTCACCCCGAGAAGTTTTCTCAACCCCGCCTGCCAGCAGTAGCTACGGGAGTAGAGCCGCTACTTTTACATATATCATACATAAAGTATATCAGCAATATATAACATACAAGTCATCTGTCCTCGGCGATTTTATTACACACCTGTGAATGGGGGAGGCGATTTCATTACTTGCTTTGTGGTTCCCCCGAAATTTCTCAGCAAATTAAGGTTCCAACTGAAAGACTTGAGTGGTAAGCAATGCTCTGTTTCCAACTGGATAAATTCCGTATATCCATAGAAGTCAAATCTTGCCTCCTTACGGCAAAAAACCACAACAATGTTTTAATAATAAAATTTACTAACTATTAACAATGAGCATCACATAAGTTCACACACTGGCACTGAATCAAATCTCTCTAAACTACAATCAACTTTAATCTACCAACTATTACTTCAATCATATTTAAATACAAAAGTTTACCATCAATAATTCAACGCAGGTGTTAATTAACTCAAGGCTTGTTGTTGTGCGGCCCGTCGCTTTTTGTGCAGACTTTCAAATATATTTTACCGCAGAAAAATACACAATATCCGCTCTTAAATTATTTATTTGTGTAACCTATTCATCCGATTGCGTCACTGTTAATTTAACATCAACTGGTCTTTGGAAATATTCTAATTATTTTCGTAATTTTCTGTGTCCTCGTATGACAGGCCGACTTTCGCAATAACCTGAATCCGGTGAATGATAGTCACTACGGACAAAATCGTTCTTTATTCGGTTATTAATGAGGGAAAGAGATAGACTACTTTCATAATTCGTGCAAACATGCCTACTTACAGTTAAAACGCGCCCTGGTGTGAAGTCTCCCGATAAGGTTGAGGATAAAAGTGACAAGAACGAATAGAGAGCCGGCGATCGTCGAGCAGGAGGCTTGCAGACGACGCCGCCGCCATCGAGGCTGGCGGGCGGGAGGGGATGTCTGACTGTAGCAATCATGCCACAGTCGATAGTTGCTCAATGTGCCGCTAAACAGGTGATGATATATTGCATATGAATAACGTTTAACCCCACCAAGAGCCCGGCTCTCTAGCGTAGTTGGCTAAACCGGATTGCGCAGAGACCGGGTGACGAACTCCTTGTGGTCCGGGTTCAATCCCGGGGGTAGGCAGGAAAGCCACATTTTCTCCCAGATTTACGGTATTTACAATGGAATCAAGGCCGAAAGGTTGCGATATCCATAATACCGAGCCTAAGGGTTAACAACTCATGGCTTCTGGATACTAAAACAAACAAACAAACCCCACCAAGACCGCCCAACATGCGATTAACACACAGTTACACGAGGTGCCACCATTCGGATGAAAGTCGCCCGGGCATAAGTCCCAGAAACCCCATTCAATCGATAAGTTATATTAGGGCCCCTGACGACAGCCGGGATGAGGGCTTTAAAATAACATAACAATATTGCAAATTCTGGGTTATGCTGCGTCTGCATCGCCTTGTCTGCTTCTGCTAAGCAACAATCGATCGTGTCCTATGTGTCGATAGTCAAGGGTGGTTTATTACAGGTTCTTTTTATGGAGAGTTGTGCGGCGTCGTCATCGCTTTATGCTCTACTTCTGCTTTACGACAGTCGATGATGTTTAATTTATCGGCAGTTCATATAATGTATTTCTTATTTTTCTTCGCCTTCACTAGCTCGTGAAAAGTTCTGGTTGTTCGTCCATATTTCTTGACATAAAATCGAGGAGAATAATTAATGATTGCACACTAAGGAAACAATATATCCACAATGTTAGTAAGATTGTCGGATTAATCTTAGTACAATCATTAGTACTATCATAATCACATCCCTAATCAAAGCAAAATGTGAAACAATACAATTTACATTTTAATCATAAGTACATGATTTATAAATTTAAATCCCCGTGTGGGTTCCGGGGCCCCATCGTGGGGAAAACAAGAATAAACCCTCTGCCTACCCAAAAGCATGTCGTAAGAGTCGACTAATTGGGGAGCTTCCTTTGAACTCGGTGTGCATCTGAGAGGCAAGGAACCAACAGTCTGCATTCAAGTGAATCAGATCTGTAAAATCGATGCACACGCAACACTCAGGTTCTGGAGCAGGACTGCAGTTCAGACGTGGACGAACAACCAGAACTTTCCACCAGAGTGTACAGCTGGTGAACGCGAAGAAGAAGAAGATAAATTTAAAATAACAAGTTTATACTCTAAGTCTAAGACAAACAATTTCTTGAGGCCTCAGAGATGTGGTTTTTCAGAAGAATGCCTTGGACAGCCAAAAAAGAGCAACCAAGAGGTTTTGAAAGAGGCGGGAGCATGAAGACAACTTATCACAGACATCAGAAGGAGACAGTCATCAGTTTTCGGCCATGTTATGAGAAGAGGGAAAATGGAATATGTTGTGACCACTGGAGAGATCTGTGGAAGGAGGGATAGGGGAAGAAAACGAGAGAAGTTGCTTGACAGTCTTGTTACATGGCATGGAGTTGTATCAGTACACGAACTAATACATGCTGCAGGAGATCGCAGATTGTGGAGAGGCATGATCGCCCACGCCAGTCGACAAGACACCTGATGATGATGATGATACTCTTATAAGTTAACACTATACATCCCAGTTATACCCCTTTAGGTTGAACGGGATATTTTTGAAAAATTACTACTACTATTACTCCTACTGGACTTTAGCCCTGTTCCAGCATCTGTTTTACATATCTGGCTGCACTGGAATGCAGAGGGGATTACAAATAAAAAGCTAGAGTTAGAAAATATTCTAAATGAGGAACAGATTCATATATGCTGTCTACAAGAAACCCACCTCACTGAAGACACAGTCTTCAAAATCAGAGGTTATCAGTGCTTCCGATCAGACCGGAAAGGCAGGAAAAAGGGGGGAATATTGACTCTTGTGAGGAACAATATCACTGCGTGCCAGACTGAAGTATATATGGATGGAGCAGAATATCAGATTCTGAAACTACAAACTGGAAATGCAGACTTCTACCTGATCAATTATTACTGCCCAAGTGATCGTCCCCAGGCTTTAGACACAATCCCAGTGGAAGAAAAGATGATTCTATGTGGAGACTTTAACAGCCACTCACAAAGCTGGGGATATGACCATATAGACCAGAGAGGAGAGAAACTGGAGGAGTGGCAGGATGAAAACAGATTTGTTCTTATTAATAGATCCACCAACATTCTAATCGAGGTCGTGGCACACCACTATTACCCCAGACCTAGCATTTCACTCTCCAGATCTGGAATGGAACATTAAACGAGTTGTTGGAAATCAACTGGGAGGCAGTGACCATCGACCGGTCTCCCTGAATGTAGAAAATGAGAAGGTCAGAGAAACTAGTACGCTGCCAAGGTGGAACTACAAGAAGGCTGACTGGACAATGTTCAAGCACCGGACCAGTATACTGCTTGGAAGTCTGAGCGTAGACCAGGATATAAACAAAGTAGTTACAGAATTTAACAAATGCGTACTAAAGGCAGCAGGAGAATCAATACCAAGAGGTGCCCGTAAGCATTATAAGCCATACTGGAGTAATGAGCTAGAAAATTTACATAACGAAGTAGAAACATCCAGAAAGATAGCAGAGACCAGGCCAAACCAAGAACATCACAATAATTACCAGCATGCAAAAGCAAAATTTGTAAGGGCAAAGCTGCAGGTTATAAGGGAAAGCTGGCAGGAGAAAACAAGGTCGCTGAACTTTGAAAAAGACACAAGAAAGTTATGGAAGCTTGTGAAACAAATTAACGATGAGGACACAGGGTGGAACTCAAAGATCACGCTGCAGAAAGATGGAAACATGGTCACAGGAAAAGAGGCAGCCAACCTATTTGCGGACACTTTTGCTTTAGATAACGACATTGAAATCAGTTCAGAGAAAAAACACGAAATTCAAGAAAAGACACAATTTAGAAGTCAGAAAGAAATAACATCAGAGGCGCTAGAGGTGCCAATTACACTTAATGAACTGGAGTTGGCCATTTCAAAGCTGAAAATGCGGAAGTCACCAGGAGCAGATGGTATATCAAACGAAACGATCAGAAACTTAGGAAAAGTAGTCAAAACAAAGCTTTTACAGATATTTAATGCTTGCTGGGCAACAGGGAATGTTCCACAAATCTGGAGAGAGGAAATTATGATACCTCTCATAAAGCCTGGGAAAGACAGTTCTAATGCCTCTAACTACAGACCAATCAGCCTCACAAGTTGTCTCTGTAAAACAATGGAGCGCATCACCAACCTCAGACTATAGTGGTACATTGAAAGTGAAAACATCATTACACCACAGCAGGCGGGCTTTAGAAAGTTCTATTCTACGGAAGACCAGACAACATACCTCTCCCAAAAAATAGAGGATGCTTTTCAAGATAAGAAACTGGTACTCGCGGCATGGATAGATTTAAGGATAGCTTTTGATAAGGTTTGGAAGGAGGGGCTTTTGAAGAAATTGAGAAACTATAAAATAAATGGAAAAATGTACAATTGGATTAAAGCATATCTACATAACAGAAGAGCCCCGGTACAGGTAGATGGTTTCAAAAGTAAAAAAGTTCTACTGCGACAAGGCGTCCCTCAAGGTGGTGTCCTGTCGCCCACACTTTTCCTTTTATTTATCAACGATCTGGTTGCTGAGATACCAAATGGAATCAAAATGGCAATGTATGCCGACGACCTGGTACTGTGGTGCACCAATGAACATGCAACGATAGCCACAAAAACACTACAGCGGGCTACAAATGCACTTGAGGCATGGGCCAATAGATGGTGTGTCAGCATCAACACAGACAAATGTAGCACCACACTATTCACCCTCTCCCCAAAGCAAAAAGCCGGCACCATCAAAATAAACGAAATACCCCTGTGAGATGATAAAGAGCCCACATACCTAGGAGTCACATTTGATGACAGGTTGACATGGAGAAAACATATCAACAAGGCAGCAACCAAAGCCAGGAGGAAGACAGCAATACTAAGAAAACTAAGTGGAACCACATGGGGAGCAGATGGGAAAATACTCAATAAAGTATACAAGCAGAGCATACTTCCACACTTGGAATATGGGTCAACTGCATGGTGTTCAGCATCTAGTACCACATTAAAGGAGTTAGACAAAGTGCAAAATTAAGCGCTCAGAGTCGTCACAGGAGGGATGAAATCAACCCCCATATTAGAAATGGAGAAAGCTGGGAAAACACAGGCACTGAGAGAACGCAGAGATACAAAGTTGCAAATACAAGCTGAAAAGTTCCTCAGTATGCCAGATCACCCGATGGAAAATAGATTTAAGAACCTAGCCTTGGGACGGTTAAAAAGAAGCAGCTTTATACACCAAGCAAAAAGAATATGTAGACAAACTCCTGACCTTCCAGAAATTGGCTGCCCACTTAAAAGTATTCCGGAACAAACCCCATGGAGAGAAAAATGTAAACTAACGGTACAAATCCAGACAAATGTGAAAGGGATATTTGACAAGAAAGGGCAAGATAGTGTACAACGCAAAATGGCCACCCTCAGTTATATTGATGAAGAATACCCACAAGAACAATGGGTCAGAGTCTATACAGATGGGTCCGCAGAAAGTGCAGTTAGAAATGGTGGTGCTGGAGTGTACATCGAATTCCCAGATGTTACTAGGGATAAGTCCAGCGTACCAACCGGGAAGTACTGCCATAACTACGATGCAGAAACCCAGGCTATTAAGATAGCTACAGAGAAACTGCTAAATACCAACCTTGGCTCACAGTATGTGGTGATGCTTACAGATGCTAAATCAGTACTTGAAGCACTCCAGTATAGGAAATTACCAGAATTGCAAACACTGCTGACACAACTCAGCGTTCAGCGAAGAGTCGTAATGCAATGGATACCGTCTCATTGTGGAGTGCCTGGAAATGAGAAAGCTGATCAACTGGCAGGGGAAGGTGCGACAAAAGAGCAGCCAGATGTACCAGTCACATAACACCAAAAGAAAAGAATCATTAAATCGATCAGGAAACCACCAGCCCCAGCACAAGACGACTATTTTATTATGGACAGACCAGAACAAGTCATTATCTTCCGCCTCAGAACAGGGCACAACCGATTACGTAACCACATGTACACAAAATTCAAGATAGGTGTATCAGCCATGTGCACCTGTGGAAATTTGCCCCAGACCGCAGAGCATGTACTCCAGGACTGCACCGATTTTGACACATTAAGGCAAACCTTTTGGCCAGAAAGAACAACAGTGGAAGGTAAACTCTATGGACCACTGAATGAACTAACAACGACAGTGAAATTTATTCAAGAGACAAAACTGCTGATATAGATAACTTATTTCAGGCGAACGAAAGAAGAAGAAGAAGACATATCTGGCTTATTTGTAAGCAGACCCCTGAAGCTATACCATACAGGACGTAGAGCAAGAGGTAGACCAAGAACAATATGGGAAAATAACATCAGAGAAACTCTACAGCACCATCATGCGTCTATGGTCGAAGCAGACAGAAGAGCACGAAGCATTACCCCATATCTCCGTCGACACCCGAAGCGGTAAAAGAGGACGTAACGAAATAGAAGATGACTGTTGGTTCCTCTCCTCTCAAGCTGATGCACTCCGACTGCTAAGGAAACCCCTAATTGGTAATCTTGGTTTCAGCTTTATGGCAAACGGGTCACCCCATAGTCGCTCCGCTCCTGTGCCAACGAAAAACATACAGAATGTTTACCATAGCCCCTTGTGGAAAGATTGACAGACTGCTGTCTCAGCACTAGCATACACACGCATTAAAAGCATACGGTAGACATCCGAAGTGCTAACACAAACAGTTCGACAGTAGAATGCACGGATGGTAGCAGAAGTCATCAACAGATCAGCAGTTGTACATGCGATCAATTTTAATCACATAATGGCACCGCCAATATTGCGACAACAGGCATCGCGCCGTTTTCTGCATCTACAATTCAGACCATCACGTTGGTCATAGTCGACAAACATTCCAAATGAAATCCGCAGCTCACAGTGTCACGCCGTGCACTCAACTCAGAAGCTGAGTGACAAAACTATATCCTTTCAGTCTACAAATGGAGCAAAAATGCAATAGCCACCGTATGGCAGAAGCAAAAAATGTGCCACGGCTCAAACCAATGGCTGCGCCTAGCGTCCATTTTTACCCCTAATTAGTGAAGTCTTACGACATGCTTCTTAGGGAGGCTGTGGGTATTTTTTTTTCTCCCCACAATGGGACCCCGAAAAACGCACGGGGAGTAATATATTTGATAGGTGAACTTTGATAAAGTGTTATGCGGCACCGATAATGCCCTGTCTGCTTCTACTATGCGACAGTCGACGGTGCTCGGTGTGTTGTTAGTTAGTTAGTCGACAGATTATCCTCATTGCACATTGAACCATTTCGTCCATAAGTGCTCGGATTCCCATCTTGGTCAATCTCGTGCGTGTAGTGGCTGACACTGCCAGTCCTGTGTTAGTGTCTTATTTTTGTGTGGCTTCCTGCATAGTGTTCTCGTCTCGCTACACCCCTTTACCATGCTGTTATTGCAATCTAGTCTTTGTTACAGATTCACAGTCATCACTTGGTTTTTGCAAACCATTTACTTCTCGTGTCGGCTCTGTGGCTAAGTCGATGCGAACGCTTTATAATGCCGAATTCGATCCCAGCTGCTGGCCATGCGCCTTGCGTTGGTTTCGACAGTGGTATCAGGGAGCTGACCGTACAGTAAGCACTGACAAACTATTGGACGTAAATTTGCCTAGAGAAACCCAACAACAGCAAGGGGGTGCTGGGTATTGGTTCTGTAACGTCCTGTAAAAGGATACGCAACTAAAAGAAAAGAATTACTTCTCGTATAGCTGTTAGTACAAGTGGAAGACGCCAGAACCTGGGACTCAGGCCTCTTGAGTGTGTGCATTCGTTTGACAGATCTGACTCATCAGTGTTCAGACTGTTGGTTCCTTACCTCTCAGGCAGATGCACCCCGACTTCTAAGGAAGTTCCAATTAGTCGACTCTCACGACATGCTTTAGGGTAGGCAGTGGGTCTATTCTTGTTTTTCCTATAATAGGGCCCTGGAACTCACACAGGGAAAATCCATTATAAACACAACAACTCGATTTCCTTGTAACACGATTTTGTGGGACACCGCAAACCGGCCGACCAGAGCTGTCGTCGCCTTCTGTTTCTTCTTCTTCTTCTTCTTCGTGTTCACCAGCTGTACACTGGCGGAAAGTTTCGGTTGCTCGTCCACTACTGAACTGCAGCCCTGCTCCAGAACCTGAGTGTTGCGTGTGCATCAGTTTTACAGATCTCATTCTCTTGAATAAAGACTGTTGGTTCCTTGCCTCTCCGGTATATGCACTCCGACTTCAAAGGAAGCTCCCCAATTAGTCGACTCTTACGACATGCTTTTGGGGAGGCAGTGGGTCTATTTTTGTTTTCCCCACAATGGGGCCCCGGAACCCAGACAGGGCAGACCAGAATCTATTTATTAACTTTTTCAAAATAGCTTTTTGACCCCTCTGGTGTTGGTTTGATTGTGGCAGAGTTTGGCTTCCAGTTGGCGGGACAAACTTCTCCATGTGCTTCAAAGAACTGGAAAGCCTGAACTACTCGAATGACCTCGTCGACACAACGACCCACTGGAAGGTCATTTATGGTAATATGGCGAATTATACCATTAGTGTCTATTAGAAACAAGACCGTCAAAGCTATACCTTCATCTTCTACCAGCACACCATAATCTCTAGATATTGTTTTGTTGAAATCCGAGAGCAGAGGATAGTGAAGTCCTTCCAGCCCACCTTTCTTTCTTGAGGTATTAATCCAAGCCAAGTGACTGAAATGGGAATCTGTTGAGACTCCAATGACTTCAGTATTTATAGCTCTAAATGCTTGAATTTTGTCATTAAAGCTGTTGGACAGACAAATGTAAAATCAACAGTGTAAAAGTAAAGAAACTAAATATTTGCCCTTGTAGTCTGAAAGTTGTATTTCCTTGAACTGTCCATTTACAACAGCTTGCCCTTTGAGATCAGGTGCTGGATGCTGAGCTCTGACTATTGACAATGACGGGCACCCAACAGAAAATCTGCGAACAAACATTGATGAGAACAACTGTGCTGCACATGCCTGCTTGTGTGGTGTAGAACTGCATCTCAATACATTTAATGCATGCAGTGTGGTTGGCTGAACCAGTCGTCTGACCAAAGTCAAACCGCATGTCACAGAAGCCATGCTTGCCATTCGCCTTCTATCTTATTATTATCAATGTCCGCCGATAGACCCTGTCTCCAAGTGTCTGAGTTTGTCTGCAACACGTATCTCACCAATAGGATCAGAAATTTGCGATATCACTTTATTTGGATGTTGATATTTGGATTATGCACTTATATACCAGCCAGATCCTTCTGTAAATAGAGTCGGTCGTGAAACTAACTGACCCGTGGCGTAGGGGTTAGACGCTCGCCTGCGGTTCGGAAGGTGAATTCGCTCCCTGGTGGGGCCGGTCTTTTTTCAAGGGGCCAAGGGCAGTGCTGGAAAGTAAAGGCGGCCTGTGTGATGCTGACAACATCACTCGTCTTGTGCCGTTGGTCTACAAAATATAGGTCTAGCCCTATATACTCAATACACCTGAAAGGCGTGGAAAAGGGTCCTTTACTTTACTTTACTTATTCCAACTGACACCATTATTAAGCATCCAAACAAACGTATTAGCGCCAAGAAACAGATTATAAACAGCGTATTCATCGTAATCGTAGAAACCAAACAAAAATGTCAAATTTGGCCTTTTTTCAGCTGCCCGAAGGCCTGCTTTACTGAAGACGGTTTCATTGCTATCTGATTCAATTCGATTCGTTGTGGCAATCATTTTCTCCTAAGTTCGGCTATTTGCTGCTGCGTCATGTCTGCTCGATCAGGCTTGGCTGGTGTAGTCCGGCTTTTTGGCAGTGGGTGTTGCAGCCCTAAGAAAGGCTGCCATATTTGCTTGAGGCGGCCTGGAACGGGGATGGGCTAGGTCTCGTTGTGGCTGTCTTCTAATATCAGGTCTGGCGATCGATGTTGAGCTGTCCGTGAAGATGGCAGCTTGTTTAATGGGCTCTCTTTTGTGGTTTTAGAACTGGCGATAACCTCTTCAGTTAGGCGTCATGTTTCCTTTGTTTTTGCTTTTGCGCGCAGAGTTGATTGAGGGCTGCGTTGATTTGATCGAAGAATCTGTCAACTTTTTCGTGCTTTTCTATGTCTTTGGGTGGTGGGTCTTTCTTCTCGAGCTCCTCCCAGTCGTAGGTGATCGTAAAGCGGCTGCCGTCTTCTACCATCCCCCGCTTGTGCGGATGCACTTGCTTGTTGAAGTTTTCGAGCATCGCTTGAAGGTCGGCCTAGCAGATATCCTTATTGGTTGCCACTTTCTTGACTGTCTCACTGGCTGTGGCATTAACTTGGTTTTTGCATAGAGTTGACGGCTGCAAGGTAGCCTCTTTTTTGGCCCTCTCTTTCTCCTCCAGGGTGTTCTTGTCTGGGTCACTTCTGTCTGCAGCTTTTAAGTGGCCTCTTTGAGTAGTGTCACCTCAGTCGAGAGTAGTTCCTGGCTTACTCTGATTGCTTTGTAGCTGTTCTGCTCTTCTTCGGCTGTCTTCTCTTTTTGGTATGGATGCATGACAGCACGGCCTTGATGTCTGAATTGAATTGAGTAATGTCAGCGATTTCTGCCTCCATGCGTTTCTGGGTCTTGAGTAAGTCTTGGATTAGGCTTTGTAGTCCTGTCCCCTTTTCTCTTTCCTCGGCTCGCTTGACTTCGGATGCTGCCTTTTCCCTTCTGAGCGATTCAATTTCGGCTTTCATTTGCGCTATTTAGTTCTGTAGCTTAGTTGTTTCTGCTGCAGTGAATGAAGGTTGGGCTATTCTGGGTGCCTCGTACTTCTTTCTGTCTACTGGCGGAGCAATCTTGGTAACGGCAGTGGTCATTCCTCTCTTGATGCCCTTTAGGTACGGGCATTCAAGGTACCTAGCGCTGTGTCCTCCTGAGCAATTGAAACACTTTCGACTAGGGTTCGGCTTCCGGAAATCTGGATCAACTTTTGCCAGGGGGCACGCCTTGAAATCATGTGGGCTAGAGCAGTAGCGACAGCGGGCTGCTGCGGCAGGTCGCGGCAGTGTGCCACGTCCTGTTGCAACGTGAGCACTGTATGTTACCGGTGTAGGCTACAGGTTGCTGCTTTGGTAGACGGATGCTGGAGGCGTATTCACACCAACACTGTGCTACCAGTGCCAGGCCTTGACATTATCAAAGGCTAACCTACGTAACGTTGACACCTGTGAAATGAGATGCTTGAGAAAAACTGCCAACTTAACTATCCGAAACAAAAGAATACGTGATATCGGATAGACTGTAGGGACAACACCATGCAGCAACTTCTTTGAGAATCAGATCAAAACGTTTGGTCATCTAATAAGAATGGAGCCATAACAACTACCAATACAGGCGCTACACATGGAGATATCTGATGCGAAAGCAAGAGGTCGCCTTAGGAGGACATGGATTGATCACATTAAAGAGCTTCTACATCGACACGGGATGAGAATAGCTTCTTCTTCTTCTTTCGTTCACTTGAAATAAGTTGTCTATATAAGCAGTTTTGATGACATTAGCCATGGCTGCTCGTTTAGCAATGGATCCAAAACGGTTCATCCCCTCGCCGCCATCCCCTCGGTTCAGGTTCGAACCTGGTCACTGCTCAGCACTCAAGGGAAAGGCGAGACGGATGTACAGTCAGACAGTTACAGGTACCATCGGAATTGGAACTCTTCGCTTGCTGTTGAAGATGGGGACGGATGGCTTATGGTAGTGTTCCGAGTGCTTTGATGTCGATTTTTAATTCAATATTCAACATTGCAGGAAGAGCTTCTTGTCTGTGGCTACGCTGAATCTTGTTGACAGTCTAACAACCACTATTCATGTTCAAGTGAGAATTTGACGTATAGGCTCAGTGTCATCATCATCATTGTTAGTAATACTGCGTGTCGTTAGGTCACCAGTTGATGTTGACTGAACAGCTCCACTTTTGACGGTCAAATGCAATGGACTTCATGCCTAAGGTCTGTCCAATTCTTTCTTGGTCTGCCTCTTCTCCACTGTTGTAACATTGTTTTTGAGAAGCCATTAGATTTTATTACATGTCTTTGAGAATGCAACAGTTCTGTTAGCAAAAAAAAAATATTTTAGGTAGGGGTGTGGAAAAATATTGTTTCCGCTGGGGCTTGAACCCAGGACCTTCCGCGTGTTAGGCGGATGTGATAACCACTACACTACGGAAACTGATGATAAATGTTTCAAAAGCAGTTTCTCATTCAGTAAATGTTTATCAAGGTATGTTTTTATTATTTTAAAGGATTTCAATACGTTTCGTTTCAATTATTGCAGCAAAATTTTGTTAGTGTAGTTTCAAACATAGACACATTTTCTTAGCATAAATAACTCAGCATTTATATATTTTAGTTTCAAATATACTACAGCTCACGTGATACATTCGTTTTTGAAAGGCCAGATAAGCTTATCTTTATTTGATGAAAATGAAATAAATTACTACAAAGCTCTGTAGCTGACAATTACACCCATAGATTTTATAAAAATATTATTATACAACGATTATTGACTTTTTAAAATATAAGCTAGAAATAGAAAAGATATCCATGGTTTTATGACTGTGACTAAGTTGACACTAGACGTCAAAAAGCGCTGGCTGTCATCATCGTCTGCCCGGGTTTAGGAATCAGAATCTTTCACAAACCGGCGCAGGAATCATGTCTAGTGGTGCACGTAAGTTTGCGTTTGCCCTTTTGTTTGTCACAGTTTTTTTTCTTGTTTGTTTAATAGTCTTCTCATAGTTTGATGTCGTAGACATTAACTATTGTGTTTACATAACATGAAAGATAATAAAGACATGAGGGGAATAAATTTGACGAATGAAAAGTGGGTCATAGTCATTGTGCATCAGATCGACCATTTTGGACACGCTGTCGTCCTCTCTAAACATTTTTGTTTTAGTTGTTTCGGAACTATCGAATGTTTACTTAGTAGGTTTAAAAAAAAATAATTTTTAATATCGCAAACATTAACGATTATATTTTCTTTGGATGTATGCTCATGACAACTAGAATTTTGTTTTCTTGAAATTATTGTCGAACAAAAAGTGGGTCATCATGGTTATCCGATGTATATAATCATCCATGTTAAAACACGCTCTCTAGCCACTTTAGTCAAATTTTCAAAATCATTTTTTCCTTATAAAACCAGTACAGCTGCATACATATTGAAAAGCTCTTTCCAACGGTACCTCTTTCATGCCTGTATGTCAATTCTAAGCCAAGTTATTGAAGTTTTTGTGGAAAAAATGAACAAAGAAGAAAAAATAAAAGTGAGATAAAACTTGTCGCCTTAAAATCGTAAGTCTTAGAGGAGTGTTTAAAAAGTGCTTTTACTTAAAAAGTATTTAAAAAAGACCCTAGAAACCATATATTTTTGGATTCGGGACAACAATCTCTAACTGAATAAAGATGAAATTTTTAGTAGTTACGTAATATCAACTAATAATTGACTAATAATTATTCAAAATGGCCGCCATTTATCATAATCATTACTCAATATGTTCTTATAAACTTTATAACGGTCTTTACATTTTTTTTTCCTTGGTACGTTTATTGGAAAAAGAAAAAAAGCTTTAAATGTGCTAAAGACATAAGCACATGTCAAGCTCAAATTAGAACTAGGTCGCTTATTGAATATTTATATTAATTAATTAATTTAAAATTTTTTTTTTTTTTTTTTTCACAATCACCATCAAATTTCGGAACAGATGAATTTTTTTTCCCTTAGTCCTGGTGATGTATCATGTGCTTCTCCCCTCCCCCTTATTTTATGTTATTTTGGCCACTAATTATTAACTAAAAATAACCATTGTCACTAAGTAAGCGAAACCATCTTTACAAATCTGAAGTACACTGACATTTTCCCCCTTGACTCACTCTGAATAATCCAGTCATCACAAATGAACAAACAATTTGTGTGGTTTATTTCAACATTTGATTATTTTT